AATCTCTTGAACCAGGAGGTGGAGGTTGCAATGAGCTGAGATCACACCACTGCACTCCGGCCTGGGTGGCAGAGCAAGACTGTTTCAAAAACAAAAAAAGAAAAATCATTTAAAAAATTTCATCTGTGACCCTACCAAATGACCTTTGAAAACAAAAGCAGAACCAGAAAGCCGCCTCGGGCCGGCTTTCACATTGTTTGTGTGAGTATATATTCTACTTATAAACTACATTCCAAGTAACAAGTCAATATTCTATCTTTCAACTCATCCCCACTTCCCCCCCCAACCACCAAATAAAAAGGTTAAGCAAGCTGCTGCAGCATCCACGATCAACGACTTCAACTACTTAGAAACTTGCAAAGACTTTGTTCCTAGTTAGGAACAAATGTACACTATCGATAAACTTCACCTTTACAATTAAGGAGAACTCCTGGGTGCAATTATTTCCCCTCCACTGAGTGGGCGACAATAAGGACGCCCATTTCAGAGATTACGTTTAGTGTCTGTACTAAGGCAACCGGATGCAAAACAACTTACTCTGCGGCTACCCACTTGAGAGAGCAAAGGTGGACTGGGAAGGCCAGCCAGCTGGGCGTCTCTAAGGTTTAACGAGACGCGAGCTCGGGCTTGGCGTTTCTCATCCTCATCTTGGGGTTGCAACAACACCCTAGAAGCGTCTGTGGTTGGAAATGCAGAACACCAGGCATCTCCCAAGGCGCTCCCCAGTCCGCCCGGCCTCGGGCCGGCTTTCACATTCACCCTGTCAAGGGCACAACCCCTCTTCACAGACTGGGGAGCGCTGCACCCCACAAGCGCACGGGGCGCCGGCTCGGCCCCAGACCCAACAGGTTCGGGTGCGGGTCCGCGCCCCCACGTACCTTCGAGGGGTGTTGAGGAGCCGCTGCTGCTCGTCCCCCTCCTCCTCCTCGTCCGTCTCCGAGTCTGGGTGACAGTGGCAGAAGGCCCCGCTGCTCCGCTTGCGCTTGTGGCTGCCCGGGCAGTAACAGAAGCCGTGGCCCGCAGCATCGTCTCCAGTGTCCGGCCTCCGGGCCGAGCCCCCCACTCTGGCACCCTGCTCCTGCTCGGCAAGGGCTCGCCTCGGCTGGCGCAGCACCCGGCTGCTCAACGATCCCATGGGTCACGGCTCCCCGGGACTTCAGGGAGCCCAGAGAAGGGGGTCTCCCGCCATGGCCCGGCCGCCGCCGCCGCCGCCGCTGCTGCCGCCGCCAGCCTTCCCAGAGTGCAGGTGCCTATACCGCCACGTTCTCACGCGCAGCCCCAACCGTTGCAGCGGACGCTACCGCCTGCATCTTCCGCCCCGCCGGCAGCGTCTAGCCGCGCTGCACGCCCGCACCGCGGGAGCTCGCCCCCTCACTTTCGCAACAAAGCGCGGGCAGGAAGGCGCATGCGCGCGGCGAGCCTCCGGAAGGGGCGGGGCAAAGCGGGCGGGCGTGGCAGGTGGAGCCTGCGCACAACTGGGCGCGCCCGTGAGGACTTCAGGCTTGCGGTGGGTCTGGCCTCGTACTAACCAAAGCTTTGGCGTAGCCCTAATGTTAAGCCGTAGTTCACATACCCCTTTGTGTTGGCAAGACTTGGGACGCGACTCAGTCACTCATGCGTTCTACAAAGGTGCCTTGAGCCCCAGGTGTTTATGGGCCTGTGCTAAGGAAGTGGCGAAACCCCGGAGCTATTTGGTCTCCTGCGGAAGCTCAGCACTTGCTAGGGCCACGCTCTGCTTGGTTGGGCGTGGCCTCCAGTGAGAGGGGCCGTAGAATGAGGCGCTATGCTGGATGCTTGCGCTTCCTTAGCGTGAGCCCTCCCCTGGAGTAGACGTGAAAGGAACCCGTTAAGTTATGAGAACGTTCCCGGCACTGCTTTCCTCTCTAGCACCGGTGGGATGTCCGAATAGGGTCTGGCCCCATGTCTATCGAACTCAGAGAGCCTTCAGGCGGCCCTAGTGATCAGCTTGCATATGCAGAATTTGCCAGCAAGAAGAACGTGCAGGTGTTTCCCACGAAGTAGATGTGGACCACCATGAGATAGCAGGGATGGGATCATCTCAGGTCTTGCCCAATAGGCCTGGAAGGAAGGCAGTGAACTTCAGCACTGAGAACCTCAAAGAGTCACCAAATTCCTAGAGGCTGAAAAAAGAGAAATATATTTGCCTTTCCAAAGGAACTGCAGGTGAGTAGCATGATGAGGTTGAGAAAGGAACCCACAAGAATGCCCACAAAATCAACTTTAGTCTGTCAGGGCCACACAGGGCTGATCCTCTACCACCACAGCAATGACAGTCAGGTAACAACTTTTCTGCTCCCCTTAACTCTTCTCTGCTACAACCCAGACATGGTAGGTTGGGGCAGGGGCAGATTATGGAAGGAAACCTAGGTGGAAAAAGGAGAAGCCCACAGTCTCCCTTTCCCCAGAAACCAGCATCCTACTGGCAGTAGGCCAGACCTGAATTAGGGAAGAAGCCTGAACCGTAAATCAAGATTGGAATTTTGACTGGATTTATTACTTACTAAAATGACACTGTTTTATGACCTTGAGGAACTACATAGTAGGACTTGTAAAACCTAAGAGTATACAGAAAAGTCATGACTCTATTCTCTCTCTGAATTTACATCTAAAGACGGGAACAATTAGGCCCACTGAATAAATGTCAGTGGACAGTGAGAGGGGAAACAAAGTTACTTCATAATATCTCAAAGTCATGCTGGTTCAAGATGACAAACATTCCTCCAGGATGACCTTCTAGAAATCTTCTGGTGAATAAATGCTATTTGTTTTAAAGTGTTGGCTAAGCTACATATCATTTAAAGATAAAACTTCTACCAAAAAATTCACCATGCTTCCAACGACAAAATAAAGCTGATTTGGAGATTCTGTGGTCTTCTGGGAAGACATTGAAGTGACAGTATGATTTCCTGTAAGTAACTGGAGTGACTAAATATTCACATAAGTGGCTTCTACCAGTACCTGTAGCTTTTATAATAGATAACTAACACTAAACTAAAAAATAAATTCTTATTATTTGACCCACTAAAATACAATGGATGTTATAAAATGAACAAAGAAGGCAAGTAGTCTTACTATAAGCATATAAATGTATTTATACATTATGATATTTGATATAAATTGTCTACTTAGAGTAGAGAGCATCACTCATTTCCAGAGAATAAGTTCATACATTATTTTATGTAATTGAATAGTGTTTGGCATATGTGAACATTAGCCAGTAGGCACACTTAAGACTAAATATGTGATCTTTTTTCTCATGTTGTAATTCCTGTAGAAACTGAGTAACACAAGTCCTTCAAAATTAGCTCCTTTCAGGGGCCAGGATGAAAAACCTCCGAAGGGGAAAAATGGATGAGAGAAACAATATACTTCGTTTTAAAGACACATTTTTTTTTTTTTTTTTTTTTTTTTCTTGAGACGGACTCTCACTCTGTCACCCAGGCTGGAGTGCAGTGGCATGCCTCCCACCTCCTGGGTTCAAGCAGTTCTCCTTGACTCAGCCTCCTACATAGCTGGGATTACAGTGCCTGCCACCATGTCCAGATAGTTTTTGTGTTTTTAGTAGAGATGGAGTTTCTCCATGTTGGTCAGGCTGGTCTTGAACTCCTGAACTCAGGTAATCCACCTGCCTTGACCTCCCAAAGTACAGCTAGTGCTCGACTTACTACCACGGTCGGGACCGTGGACCAGTCATAACATGATTTGGTCGTAAGTTGAGTAGGCTATATGTACAGTTGAAATGGTGCACGTGGAGATGGTAGTGCTGCCGGAAGCTGGTCTGCACTGTCATACTCCCAGCTGGGCAACGTTTGTGCTGCCAGACGTGGAGCAGTCGTGGCTAGCGATTGTGGTCGTAAAGTCGAATGGCCGTAAGTTGCATAGGTGGTAAGTTGATCAATACCTTACTAGGATTACTGGCGTGAGCCACTGCCCCCAGCCTAAAGACACCATTTTATAATTAAAATTATTTTTCCACATTCATACAAAGTGAACTTTTTAATTAAATCCAAGTACATCTTCAGAATGCTTCTAGAGTTGAAAGGCACAGTGCAAATAGAAATTAGTACAATCAATAAAATTTAAAAAAATTAAAAAGTATTTTTTAGCACAAAAAGCTTTCTTTACATCAAACTTAATTCAGAGCATTACATCATTTCCAGAATACCTACTTTGAAGCTTTCTTTTCCCCCCATCCACTTGCAAGCTGGCTTAAGACATTAACTGTAATAATATAGAATACAGAATGTTTGGCATTTATGTTTGGTACCCAGATGTATGTGATTTGTATAACCATACTTTAGAATTTAGTTTGTTCAGATAAATTGGTTTTGGTATACTTTTTTTTTTTTTTTGAGACAGAGTCTCACTCTGTCACCCAGGCTGGAGTGCAGTGGCGTGATCTTGGCTCACTGCAGCCTCTGCCTCCCAGGTTCAAGTGATTCTCCTGCCTCAGCCTCCCAGGTAGCTGAGATTACAGGCGTGTGCCACCATGCCCAGCTAATTTTTATATTTTTAGTAGAGATGGGATTTCACCATGTTGGCCAGGATGGTCTCGATCTCCTGACCTCGCGATCCATCTGCCTCGGCTTCCCAAAGTGCTGGGATTATAGGCGTGAACCACTGCGCCTGGCCAGTTATGGTATATTTTGACTAGAGAAAGTGATTTCAATAAGATGTGATGAAGGAAGTCTCCCATGAAAAAACAGAGTAAAGATCAACTAATGCTACGGGTAAAACCTAAAAAAAGCAGATTTGTAGATGCTTTCAAGTCTTTGACTATGAAATACAGAAAACTGGATGGGCATTCTTACTAACTGGATGCTCACAATTTCAGATGAAGAATTACTAGCCACTCTAAAAACTGGATTATGGAAAAAGGTGATTTTAGAACAGTCTTCCATTTAAAAAATTTTTCACTGAAAAGAAAATACGGAATAATTTAATATATTTAATGTCTGTGAAACACAAAGTAGAAAGTAATCTTTTAAAAACATGGAATACATTTTTATTTCTAATTTTAAATCTCCATTTATGTCTTATAAATTGAGCTTTGAAATGCAAGTACAGCTTTAAAGCATCACAATGACTAATTATAGGTGAATAATAATACAGAGTTTATATCCTAGGAGGCAGCTGTAGGCGTTTTAATTGGAAATAAGCATTCTGAGATAATGATAATAGCAGTGTAGAAAAATGAAGTTAAAAAAATTCAGAGTGTTGAGGATCCTCCTATCCTTCTGGGATTTTTATTTTAATCATCTCCTCCACAGAGAACAAGCAGTACTTTCCTGTAGTCTCCGGATGTGTCACCCTATTGAATAGGGAAGCAAAGTTAGTCAGATAAATATATTTAAAAATGAAACACACAGTTCAAAGTCATCTAAGTCAACTTTTTCAAGCTTGGCTGGATTTTTCTTAGCTTTAAATTTTTCTGGTTATTTTTTATTACAAAGGTAATACTTGTTCAGTGTAGAAAATAAAGACAAAAAAGTACATAAAAATCAACCATTATTCCATTATCTACAGACTATTATTCTTATCATTTTGATGTGTGACTGTCCTTCTAGTCTTTTTGCTATGTATATAGATATCCAATGTGATAGAACAGTAGTATTCTGTGTTCTGGTTTTTCACTTCACAATATAGCCTATTTCTCTATTTTGTCAAATATTATTCTACATTATTTAATGGTTATAGAATATTCCGTAATTTATTGATCACATCCTTCCTTTCCCTGTTGGATATTTATGTTGCTTCCATTTTTCACTATTATAAATGCTGCTTCAATAAGCATACTGTAGTTAAATTTTTGTGTTTTTTTCTTAATGATTTATTCTGGATAAATTTTTATAAAATGGGAATTGCTGGATTAAATGCAGTTTCTTTGACTTTTTTTTTTTTTTTTTTTGAGACAGTCTTGCTCTGTGGCCCAGGCTGGAGTGCAGTGGTGCAGTCTTGGCTCACTGTAACCTCTGCCTCCTGGGTTCAAGTGATTCTCCTGCCTTAGCCGCCTGTGTAGCTGGCACTACAGGTGCATACCACCATGCCTGGCTAGTTTTTATATTTTTAATAGAGATGGGGTTTCACCATGTTGGCCAGGCTGGTCTCTAAGTCCTGACCTCAAGTGATCCACCCGCCTCAGCTTCCCAAAGTGCTGGGATTACAGGTGTGAGCCACCGCACCTGGCCTGTTTTCTTAAACCTTTTGATATGGGTTATAAAAAAGTCTTCCAAAAAGGTTCTATAATTTCTACATAGAAATTTTTGTGGTCTAATAATTGATTAATTTTTTTAATTTTGAATTTTATTTTTAGAGAGAGGGTTTTGCTTTGTCACCCAGGCTGGAGTATAGTGGTGCAGTCATAACTCACTGTAGCCTCAAACTCCTGGGCTCAAGCCATCCTTCCACCTCAGCTTTCCAAAATGCTGGGATTATAGGTGCGGGCCACTACACCTGGCCTAGATTAATTTTTATTAGTAATTTGTGGGCTCTAGAAAAGATGGAATCTCTGTATACAGAGTTCAAAGTTTAATAAATAACGTTTGAAGTCAATCTTAATATATCCTTGTTGGTACTTTGCCTCATTGATCTGCCAAAGCATAGGATGTATTAAAGCCTCTCACTAGCATAGTATTTCCATTATATGTTTTCTTCTAGAGTCTCAAGTTTCTTATTTACACATTTGAATGCAATATGATTTGGTATTTAAAGTTTCACATTAGTTTAATCTTTGCTGTGAATTGTTGCCTTTGTCAGTATAAAGTGATCTACTTTCTCCTCTTTAATACTTTTTCTCCTTAAATTTTTCTTTTTACTAATAGCATAATCTCCGCTTTCTTTATTGTATGTGTGAAATACTATTTCCCTGGTGTTTTTCTTTAAGCTTTTTACATGTTACTGTATTTTAGTTGTTTCTTGTAAAGAGCATGAAGTTGGATTTTATATTTTTATCTAACTAGAGAGTTTTTTAAAATAACTTTTATTTTTTCTTTTGTCATTTTTCCCTATTATTTACATATTTTATGCTTCTATTCTGCTTCTTTTATTTTTGACAACTATTATTGAATGAGCAATGTATTCGTTATTTTTAATCTTTTCTAGTGTGTGTTTATACACACATATATTTACATATTTATATGTACAGAAATATATACACTAGATTATAGTGTTTTCTTCCCAAGCCAATCAATATATTTGTACCCAATCATTTTAGTGTTGGTATACTATTATATTGTATGGATTTTCCATAATTGATTTAAGTTATTCCCTATTGATTAATAGGAATAGTAATATATAATAAATTATATACTATAAATATTATTGATATAAATATAAATAACATGAAACTGTAAATAATATAAATAATGCTATGATGGAAGTATTATAATACTTAGTCTATTCTTTTCACATTTCATTAAACAATTTTATTAAAATTCCTTCAGAGATCTTTTTATTGTGGTAAAAAATATATATATATATAATTTGTCATTTTAACCATTTTCAAGTGGCACTAGTTACTTTTACAATGTAATGTAGCCATCATCCCTGTCTATTTCCCTTTTATCACACCCAAACAGAAAGGCTGCACCCACTAAACAATAACTCCCATTCTTTCCTCTCCCTCCAAATTCCTGGTAACCTCTAATCTCCTTTCTGCCCCTATGAATCTACCTATTCTATATATTTCATATAAGCAAAATCATACAATATTTGTCTTTTTGTGTCTGTTTTATTTCACTTAGTATATTGTCAAGGTTTATTCATATATCAGAAATGTCATTCTTTTTTTTTCATGACAGCCTACCATCAAACATTATTGCTTTTTTTTTTGGTTTTTTGAGATGAAGTCTCACTCTGTCACCAGACTGGAGTTCAGTGGCATGATCTCAGCTCACTGCAACCTCTACCTCTTGGGTTCAGGTGATTCCCCTGCCTCAGCCTCCCAAGTAGCTGGGACTACAGGCATGTACCACCACACCTGGCTAATTTTTTGTATTTTAGTAGAGACAGTGTTTCACCATGTTGGCCAGGCTGGTCTCAAACTCCTGACCTTGTGATCCACCTGCCTCGGCTTCCCAAAGTTCTGGAATTATAGGTGGGAGCCACTGTGCCTGGCCACATCATTGCTTTTTATGTATGTATATACATTTTGTTTATCCAGTCATCTGTTGATGGATATTTAGGTTGTTTTGACCTCAAGCCTACTGTTAATAATGTTTATGTTGATGTACAAACTAGCTGTTTGAGTTCCTGTTTTCATTTAAGTATATAACTGAGAGTGGAATTGCTGGGTCCTATGGTCATTCTATGTTAAATTTTTTTATTTTTCTTTTTTGGGAAGAGTCTTTACTCAGGCTGCAGTCTTGAAGTGGTACAATCATGGCTCACTGCAGCCTCGATCTCCCCAGCCTCAGTGATCCTCCCACCTCAGCCTTCTGAGTAGCTGGGACTACAGGTGTGCACCACCACACCCAGATAATTTTTGTATTTTTTGTAGAGACAGAGTCTCACAATGTTGCCTAGGCTGGTCTCAAACTCCTGGGCTCAAGTGATCCCCCCGTCTCGGCCTCCCAAAGTGCTGGGATTCCAGGCATAAGCCACCATTGTCTGGCCTATATTAAACTTTCTGAAGAAGTTTGATGCTTAAAGACTGTTTTTCATAATGGCTGCACCACTTTACATTCCTACCAACAGTGCAGAGGAGTTCCAGTTTCTCTGTATCCTCACCATTATTTGTCATTTTCTGGGATTTTTGTTTTACTTTGTTTTTTTCTTGGCTGCACTATATTTTCCCATAGCTTCACTTAGAGTCATCCTTAAATGTTAAACTAGTTATATAGTTCAGCTCTGCAAAATGAAGTTACCTCATAGCCTAGTAGGAAATAGAAACAAATTCCTGCACCCCTTGTAGGCATAGTAACAAAATCTGCAGCTTGGCCAGGCATGGTGGCTCACGCCTGTAATACCAGCACTCTGGGAGGCCAAGACAGGTGGATCATTTGAGGTCAGGAGTTCGAGGCCAGCCTGGCCAATCTGGTGAAACTCTGTTTCTACAAAAAATACAAAGCTCATGCCTGTAGTCCCAGCTACTCAGGAGGCTGAGGCAGGAGGATCACTTGAACCCAGGAGGTGGAGGTTGCAGTAAGTGGAGATCGCACCATTGTATCCCTGCCTGGGCAACAGAGTGAGACTCCATCTCAAAAAAAAAAAAAAAAATCTGCAGCTTAAATCACATAATTGTTACACCTCTCCAAGGTCTGAGTAAGGTTCAGAATATTTAATTCACAGATCAAATGCTGATTTGAATATTGCAGTGCAGGCAACCCCAGCTTCTAGGGAAATTTGTCTCACTTTCATGTCCATGAGACTCTTCTGGCCCCCCCCAGAAACAAAATCCCAGGAATGCCTGACTTCAAGGGAGGAGAGTCAGTTCTCACCACTACCATGCCCTCTTAGGACTCCTAGAAGTCTGGTGCCTGGCAAAGAATAGTAATTCAGTATAACTAAAATGCTTTCCCATATTCCCAGTACACCTCAGCTGGCCTTGCATAGGACTCTGGATTCAGTTGTTTATCTTCTATCATAATTAGGTAGACGAGGAAATCATGTGCTTAAAAGTATTCATTAAAATGTAATCTCTCTGTCTGGGGTCAACATAAAATAATTACTGTATTTAGAGGGCAAATATTTCCAGCTTCTGTCCTGCCAAAGGTTTAAATATCTGTGTGAAAGAAGAGGGACTGGAAATGTTGGGAATATAATCTTCCAAGGGAATGACATATGCCAAGAAAAGAGGACAACAAGTGCTAAATATTAAGGTCAGAGGGGTCCTTTTTTGGATCCTTTCCTCTGGACTTAGGCTGCTGTGACCTACCTTGATGAATGAGTACAGAGACTTTCCATAGAGTCTCTTGAAGTGTGCCCGGATATCCAGCATGTCAATTTCTGCCCGAGAAACCATCACTCTGATGAGGGTGTTATCATCAGTGCCCAAGCCCTAAAGAAGAAAACAAAATCCAAACATATACAAAAACCTGGCTGTTTTTCAGTGTCTTCTTCAGTCTATCAAAGCAAAACTAGAGATGACTGTGCTGATGATGTCCTTTGATCCACTAAGTGGCAGGCCTGAGGAATATCCTCACTCCTTATCATGGTATTTACGGCTCTCCACAACTTACTTTTCCAGCGCTCTCTGTTCTGACCAGAAGACACTGTTCTCTGCCTTTCTAGAGCCATAACCTATGCTGTCCAGACACATCCTGCCACCTGCCTCACCTGCAATGATACCTTCTCATGGAGTATTATCCTTCCCTCCCCAGGCTTATCACCCTTTCCCCTCACCGTGTGAAATCCTCTGATGTAAAACTTTTACATTTGGAAGGTCCTGCTCAAATATACCAACTTCTTTATATATTCTTTGCAGATTCTTCGCCTCAAAATACAAATATTGGGGGAAAAAAAGCCCTTTCCTCTGTGTTTCTACAATGTTTTGATTCTCAACTACTGTCTTACATTTTATCTTGTTATAATTGGTGGTTTGCACGTACTTGCCTAGGCTAGACATTCTTTGAGAGCAAGGACTACATTTTGTTTTGTTTTGTTTTGCTTTTTTTTTTGGAGACAGAGTCTCACTCTGTTGCCCAGGCTGGAGTAGAGTGGTACGATTTTGGCTTACTGCAATCTCTGCCTCCCAGGTTCCAGTGATTCTCCTGCCTCAGACTCCAGTGCAGCTGGGATTACAGGTGTGAATCACCATGCCTGGCTAAATTTTGTATTTTTGTAGAGATGGGGGTTTCGCCATGTTGGCCAGGCTGGTCTTGAACTCCTGACCTCAAGTAATCCACCCATCTTGGCCTCCCAAAGTGCTGGGATTACAGGCGTGAGCCACCACACCCAGCCAAAGACTACATTTTGACCTTTCCTGTCCCTCTTGTGATTCTCAGCATGGTGCCTGCAGAGTACGATGGTGGGTTAGGAATATGGGCTCTGGAGCTAGACTGCCAGGTGTTTGCATCCTTGCTCTATTAATTTCTCACTGAGAACCTTGGGCAAACTGCATATCCTTGCTATGCCTCAGTTTTCTCATCTGTAAATTGGGGGTTAATAGTACCAGCCTCATAGAGCTGTTGTGGGGATATAATTAATCTGTTAAGAACAGTGATCCACACATCCTAAGTACTCAGTAAATATCACCTAGTATTATTATTAGCAGGCACTCATTGAAGTATTTGATGAATTGAATTGAATCTTTCAGGGTGAAGTTTGGATAGGGGATATAAGTAAGCTTAAGAAGGTGGACACAAGATAACTCAAATTCATTTAGATGCTAAAAGTAAGGCCATTTACCTTCATTGATTTATAAAGCTTTTCAGCAAAATATGCAGATTTGTTCCTCATGCACTTTACTGTTAAAGAAAAAAAAGAAGAAATGAAAAGATTACAATAAGATCCATGAAAAAAGAAAAGTGACAGTTGCTTCCTCTGTTTCTACAAGGTATCAATATTTGCTTTGCCAGGGAGATTTTAGCCAAACAATGTTTCATGAACATAGGCTATGCTGTATGTATTTTCACAGATAGAAAGTACCCTCGATTAGCCAGTCGCGGTGGCTCACGCCTGTAATCCCAGCACTTTGGGCGGCTGAGGCGGGTGGATCACGAGGTCAAGAGATTGAGACCATCCTGGTCAACATGGTGAAACCCCGTCTCTACTAAAAATACAAAAAATTAGCTGGGCATGGTGGCGCATGCCTGTAATCCCAGCTACTCAGGAGGCTGAGGCAGAAGAATTGCCTGAACCCAGGAGGCGGAGGTTGCGGTGAGCGGAGATCGCGCCATTGCACTCTAGCCTGGGTAACAAGAGCGAAACTCTGTCTCAGAAAAAAAAAAAAAAAAAAAAAAAAAAGAAAGTACCCTCGATTTATCATCAAGTTTCTGGAGAAGTAATTGATAAAGTCTCTCAAAGCAAAGGGTGGTATTTAGTTTCAAAATAAGGATTACTGTCTCTGCCATATGAGACATTTACTAGTTCTAACCATTCACAGACTTGCAAGCTACAGCTTGTATATCCGTACAGTATTACCTTTCACATAGGACATATAAAAGCACAGAAGATATAAAATATATAAACCATGTGGCACAACAGCAATCAGGTTGTATGTAATATTTCTTGTTTAAAAATCTGGAATGCAGGCCGGGCGTGGTGGCTCACGCCTGTAATCCCAGCACTTTGGGAGGCCTACGTGGGTGGATCACAAGTTCAAGAGATCAAGACCATCCTGGCCAACATGGTGAAACCCCGTCTCTACTAAAATATACAAAAATTAGCTGGGCATGATGGCGCGTGCCTGTAGTCCCAGCTACTTGGGAGGCTGAGGCAGGAGAATTGCTTGAATCCAGGAGGTAGAGATTGCAGTGAGCCGAGATTGCGCCATTGCACTCGCAGCCTGGCGCCTGGTGACAGAGCAAGACTCTTGTCTCAAAAAAAACAAACAAAAAAAATCTGGAATGCACCATGAGTGAATCAAACAAGTTTTGTCTCTGAAAATAATTATATAACCCCATGTGGCAAACTGATAATGAGAATGAAATTCTACAGACTTTTTTTTTCTCTACTCCCTACCTGCTACCAGCTTACCTATAGCCAGCAGAGCGTCTTCAAAGCTACCAGATGTTTCAGATTTAATACTTTGTTCAATATCCTTTTGTGATATCCTTTTGTATTCATCAAACACTGCAAACAACAATAAAATGGTATTATCAGGAATAAAAAATAGAGGAAACTAAAATTTGTGGAGAGAATGAGCATTTTTAACTAGCCTACACTATTTATTCTTTGGCATATTTCAGGAGGAAACTAATTAGTAAAGTGGGCAAGCACCCCGGAGGGATGTGCAGAGTGGAACAGGTCCCAGACGAGGAGGAAGAAATGCCATGATGTGTGCAGGACATCAGTCAAGTCCTCTTCCTTCTCTGGGACCCTCGCACATAAAATGGAGACAGCCTCTGGAGACATTTGCTTTCCTTTCTCATTGTTTTCTTAATAAGCAGAATGTGTCTTTTTGTGATTTTGGCCTCGGCAATCACCTCCCCTTCATCTCCCTTTTGGCTCCTCAAAACTAGAGCAATTCAACCTCTTCAAAACTGAGTCACAGTTAATAACAGCTGGTTGCATCTTTTGAAATACTTAAACATAATTACATTTGTTGGCTTTTTTTGCCAAGTATTTTTTAATGTGGTATGTTCCCCTCTCTTGCTGTCTCCTTCTGGAACCTTCTTAGAACAGGTATCTATTTTATCTTCTCACCATCGCCGCCTTTGGGGTGCTGCTTCACTTCCATCAGTGTGATTTTCACAGGGCTGTCATTCAAGGGACACCATACCCAACAACATACAACCTCTGTCAAACACACGAGCAGTTCACCCAGTCAGGACCCATTAGACTCTCTCCTAGGAACTTTTTAATTGGGCAGCTCACAGGGATGGCCAAAAGCACTGCATCATCTTTACTCTCAGAAAAACCTGTTAAACTCGCCAGGTGTCATGCTTAGAGATTCTAATTCAGCCAGTCTCAAGCAGGGGGTCAAGAATTAGCATTTTTAGTAGAGAAGGAACTTCAGAAACTCTGCTTTAGAAATGAAATCCATGCCGGGCGCGGTGGCTCATGCCTGTAATCCCAGCACTTTGGGAGGCTGAGGCGGGCTGATCACCTGAAGTCAGGAGTTCGAGACCAGCCTGACCAACATGGAGAAACCCCATCTCCACTAAAAAATACAAAATAAGCAGGACATGGTGGTGGGTGTCTGTAATCCCAGCTACACTGGGGGCTGAGGCAGGAGGATTGCTTGAGCCCAGGAGGCAGAGGTTGTGGTGAGCTGAGATGGTGCCATTGTACTTGAGCCTTGGCAACAAGAGTAAAACTCCATCTCCAAAAAAAAGAAAGAAAAGAAATAAAATCCATGATTCCCTTCTACTGAGACCCCTAGAACTGCCTTGATTTCTGTTCTTCCTGAAGGTGTTCGGCTCTCTGTTCAAATTTGTGAGCTACCAATATTTTCCATTTTCCCTCTGTGTCATTCTATATTATTTCATCTCTTCTTACTTAAATTGAAGTTGGTGTGTATAGCTTGGAATCAAAGAACTTAATTGACACATTTTCTAAGCCTCAGTTTTCTCCACTGTAAAATAGGGAAAATAATTACTGCTCCATTGAGTGTTGCAAGAAACAATGCTTATACTATGCTTAACACTGAACCTAGAAAATAGAACATTATTAACAAAACCTTAGTGATTGTGAAACCTCACCATTATTGTTGGTTGGTAAGAAAATTATGAAGTTTTCCTTATCCAAACAGTACTTAAAATATTTTCTTCCAGTGGCTTACAGACAGATATTTTATAATTGCCCAGCTATTGACTTGTACCCAGAAGTGAAAATTACAAACGCCTTTATGCACTACATCTTCTGAGGACTTGCAGTTCTTGAAAACTACCACCAGGGGGAGATTTGCGTTATTTGTAACCAGGCAAGGGAAATGAAGTAAGGAAGCTGAGTCGGAAGTTTGTGTATCTGATAGTAACCTGGGATATTGATTAGCAGGAGTAATCACCTAATTTTTGTCACTGTGAAAAATCTGAAATAATTACAACTTCAGAATGTGTTTAACTTCTCAGTTCTTTATGTTTTCAATTTAGCAAACTCATTCTCAAATTTCCCACAAGCTTTGCAAATCAGTATGTGTGATTAAAAAGGTATGGTGGGTGGGTTTATAAAATTATAAAGTGATTAAAGACCTAAAGAGCTCATATAAAAGAAGAAATATCTTCTTAAACCGTTACTGCTGTTTAAAAGAATATAAATCTGACAACAAATATTCTAAAATTGTATAGTATCCTTCCCCCAAATAAGTTAAAAGCACATTACAAAGTTTAGATTTATCAAAAACAAATTAGAAACATTTCAAATTATGCAACATAACCCCTAAAGAAATCCCTTGTATTAACTTGACAGCTTGGATGTTACACAGGAATAAATATCAGCCAACATTGCTATTTTATTGCTACCTGATCTACTATAGATTATTTTCATATGTAACTAAATTAAAATGAACATACTGGGGCTACTTTAGAAAAAGGGCTGACTATGAAGGTCAGTTTCCTAGAAACAAGAATGCCAAACTTCTATGACTACTGCATTTTTATTAATTATTCATTAGTATTTCAGAAATTAGCTTTCATACACATCATTGGACTAATACATTTCCAGGGTGGGAATCTAAGACACTTGGGCACAATCAGTTCTCTGTATCAGCTGAGAAAGAAAAGGTTATCAATTACTTATGGGCAATGTAGTTTTTGCTCTCTTTCATATCCTTTCTTTGGGAAATGAAGTAAGTGCCTTACCATGCAACAGGTGATTTCGGTTCCGGGAACAGAGAACAGTTAGAAATTTCACCTCATCTGTCCCCCATTTCTTCTCTCCAGCCTCATACAGGTCCTGAAGCCAAACAAAGCGCAAGTCTAAAACTCCAAAAAGGATGTGCCAGGACACAGGTAAATATTTCCAGAACTTGAAAGAGCTGAGCTGGCTTAGTTTTATTTTGTTGGTGATGGGGGTTGAAATGGTGGTGGTGAGTGGAAATGTCTCAGGATCCTTCCTCAGGCATAAGGCTGTTGGACCCTATCATACCTCCCTGGGAGTCAAGGTAAACACTGGCATTTCTCTAGCTGGAGACTACATGGTTCTATCTTAAGAGCTAAAAGGAATGCCCTAGATTTGGGCTGTCCCCGACAGTTGCCCCTCACCACATATGGCTGTTTAAATTTTAATTAAAATTAAGTACAATTTAAAATTCAGCTCTTTAGTCTCACTAGCCTCATTTCAAGTACCCAGCGGCTACAGGTGGCCAGTCACTCATCCAGGACAGTGCAGATGTGGAATGTTCTCATCATTTCGGGAAGTTCTATTGGATAGCCCTGCTCTAGAATGATCTGTGATATTCCTGAGGCTACGGTCTCACAGTAGAACCAGGGACCCATTGCCAATTGCTTACATTCCAAACATGTAGGAATACAAGAAACTGATTCTGCTCAATTTAACTACATTATTGCTAAATCAGAATTACTGTTCATTTACAATAAGTAGCTGGCCTGTTGCATTTCTCAGAAAGATCTCAACTAACACATATTGCTGCTCACTGGGCTCACCTCCATATACTCCCCCATTTTTTCACTTCTTTCTCTGATTCTCTCACTGCTTCAGAGTCAATTCACATAATCGTAAAAATTTAAAGCTGAAAGTGTTCATCTAATTCAAAAAATTCATCTTATTTAGCACTTCTTAAACTTAAATCTCCATAGGCTGTGGCAATTTATTTTATGTCAACTTGACTGGGCCAAGGGTTATCCAGATTTTTGGTCAAACATTATTCTGGGTGCTTCTGTGAGAGTTTTTGGATGATCCAGTATGGAGGAAGGGCCCTCATACAATCAGTAGAAAGCTTTTCTTTTCAAGAACAAAAGGGCTGACCCTCCCAAAAGTATGAGGGAGTCCTCCTGCCCGACTGCCTTGAGCTAAAGCATCAGGTTTTTTTTCCTGCTTTTGGACTTGAACTGAAACATCAGCTCTTCATGGGTTTCCAGCCTGCTGGCCTTCAGATGGAAGCTGCTCTGGGTTCTCAGGCCTTTGGACTCAGACTGGAACAAAACCATGGTCCGTCCTGCATCTCTAGCTTGCTAACTCCCTCTGAAGATCCCCACCTCCATCCCCTCTCTCTCTGTTTCTCTCTCTCTCTCTCTCTTTCTCACACACACACACACACACACGCACACACACATTATCTCTCTCTCTCTATTGGTTCTGTTCCTCTGAAGAATCCTGACTAATACATTGCCTTTATTAATAAAGCATAGTAGTTGGCTGGGCACAGTGGCTCATGTCTGTAATCACAGCACTTTGGGAGTCCAAGACAGGTAGACTGCTTGAGCCCAGGAGTTTGTGACCAGCCTGGGCAATATGGCAAAACCCCACCTCTACCAAAAATTATTTAAAAGTTAGCCAGTCATGCTGGCATGTGCCTGTAGTCCCAGCTACTCAGGAGGATGAGGTGGGAGGATTGCTCGAGCCTGGGAGGTGAAGGTGGCAGTGGGCTGAGATCATGCAACTGCATACCAGCCTAGGACACAGAGCAAGACCCTGTCTCAAAAAAAAAAATTGGAATAAAATTCTGTATAGTGGAAGTGACACTGTGATTTCTGAGTCTGGAGTATAAACAATCATGCAACTGCCACTGTTTCTATTAAAATGCTTGCTTTCTGGGTGCTCCTTCTTGAAACCCAGCTGCCACACTCCAAGAAGCCCAAGCCACACGCATACCTCTATCCATTTTAATGAAAGCAACAGGTTCTTTTTTGCATAAAACAAAGTTATTCATACCTCACACACTGAATGGAACCAGTCCCTCACTATGGTTATGTACTGGTTAAGAATACTGGGTCTATGGCCAGGCGCTGTGGCTCATGCCTGTAATCTCAGCACTTTGGGAGGCCAAGGCAGGTGAAACATTTGAGGTCAGGAGTTCAAGACCAGCCTGGCCAACATGTTGAAATCCCATCTCTACTAAAAATACAAAAACCAGCTGGGTGGTGGTGGCATGCCCTGTAATCCCAGCTACTTGGAAGGCTGAGGTAGGAGAATTGCTTGAGCCTGGGAGGTGGAGGTTGCTGTGAGGCAAGATCGCGCCACTGCACTCCAGCCTGGGTGAAAGAGGGTGACCCTGTCTAAAAAAAAAAAAAAAAAAAAAAAAAAAGAATACTGGGTCTAGATGCCAATTAGTTCAAATCCTGGCTCTGCCATTTATTATCTGTCTGAACTTGAGTAAGGCACTTGCTCTGAGCCTCAGTTTTTCTGTTTGTAAAATGGGGATAGCAATACTTAACTTATGAAGTTATTGCAAAGATTCAATGACATACTTAATATAGAATTTAGAACAGTGGGCTGGGCACGATGGCTCACATCTGTAATCCCAGCACTTTGGGAGGCCGAGGCAGGTGGATCACCTGAGGTCTGGAGATCAAGACCAGTGTGGCCAACATGGTGAAATTCTGTCTCTACTAAAAATACAAAAAATTAGCCAGGCATGGTGGCGGGCACCTGTAATTTCTATTCGGGAGGCTAAGGCAGGAGAATCACTTGAACCCAGGAGGCAGAGGTTGCAGTAAGCTGAGGTTGCACCATTGCGCTCGAGCCTAGTCAACAAGAGCAAAACTCTGTCTCAAAAAAAAAAAAAAAAAAGAATTTATAACAGTGTTTGATACCTGGCAAGGAGCCACTTTTTATTAGCTATTATTGTTAGTGTTATCTGGTCACGGCTGATTAGACCATGGGTTGGTTCCAGGGCAACCATCAGTGGGTTGGGTACCAGAGAAGCAACTGCCTCTTGGGGTTTGCTATTAATTTTATCCAACAGGGTATACACTGTGCCAAGTTATTTTATATAGCTTTTCAAATATCCTCTTTGACGTAAAAATGCACAGTGAACAGTCTCTTTCACCTCCAAGGGATTCAGAAGACACACTCAGTGGTTCTCTGGGATTGCCACATAATGGTCCTAATGTTGAGAAACTTAGAACCCAGCAGTGTTTACATAATGATGTCCAGCCCTACGTACCTCTGCAAGAAACCTGTTATTAAAGGTCATCTGGGGAACTTTTTTTAAAGAACATATCCCAGCCTGGCTAATATACACTGTAATATAAGGTGTTGTCCATCCGTCAAGGCCTGTCTTATTGGCAAAAGAGGAGAAAACTGGAAGAAAGAAGCGACGGTTCTACCAACCTGGGCATCCTGTCTCACGAGAGCATCGTCCAGGTAATTTCCTTCATCCCTCCCACCCTGAGGATGAGAAAAACAAACAAAAAAGAATCTGAGAGTATACATAAAGATCTGGAGCACCATTAAGATAGCAGGTCTAGAGTAATGAGACAAAATGCCACGAAGAGTGGGACTTCAGACCCAGGGAGGGAGGACAGATGTCTTCTAAACGTGCTTGCATTATTACCATGGCTCCGATGTGTCCCTAGAGGGGTGAGTCTCAGTGTGGGCCCTAACATTCTGTGGGTGCCTCTGCCAACAGAAGAAGGAGGAAAATAAATGCTTCCCATGGACTGCTCCCTCCACTATCTCCTGGCCTTCCCCACCACCCCACTCTCCTGTGTCTTCCCAGCTGACTCATGCCTTCCTAACTGGCAAATCTGCATTGATCAACCTCTGCCAAAAAGGGGTCGGGTGTGCTTGTAGCTCCAGCTACTCAAGAGGCTGAGGTGGGAGGATGGCTTGAGGCCAGAAGTTTGAGGCAGTGAGCTAAGATGGCACCTGTAAAGAGCTGGCCTGAGAAACATAGCAAGACCCTGTATCTTTAAAAGAAAAAAAAAGGTGGGGAGGTTGGAAACAGAGGAGAGTCAAGAGAATATGGGACCTACGGTAGGACTTGAGGAGCCCCTAAAAATGTCCCCTTACCCCTCACCAACACCAGCTCACAAGAAGGCAGGGTGGAAGCCTCTGCAGAATGCTAACAAGTGACAAAAAGGCTACTTTTCTCTAGTTTGTAGGCGATTTTTATGATTATACTGTCTCAATGGTCTATGGTCTAGACATGGCTCATCAGAGTGGTAAATATGGGAGGAAAAGAAAGAGTGGGAAAGAAATATGAGACACAGGTGACTAAGTAAATATCGGAGACAAGAGCAATGTGGAGAGGGATTTCCAGTTTATTTGGGAGCAGTAGATGACGTGGTGGAGAATTACTAGAATTTCAAGAGGCAGAGACGTGGGTGGGTGTATTCCAGACAGGAAGAACAGCAAGAACAAGGCAAGGAGGCAGGGAACATGGGGTTCAGAGTGAATATCATCTTCAAGGCTCTATCCATGTAAATTGGAGATGATTTCCAGGGTTCTGCTTCTTTAGGTGTAGGAGGAACAACAGCAGTATTAACAGAAACAGGCAAGTCAGGAAGAAAAGCTGGTTTGAAGGGAAAATGAGCTCCGGTTTAGTTCAGGAGGACTGGTTTAAGGGGCTAGTAGGATATCCATAAGGAAACATCCAAAAAAGCAATGTGAAGTAAGAGTCTCCTGCTCAGGAAGGAGGCCGGGGATAAAGATGCAGCTGGGAAGGGATGTGAAATGTCTGGAGTCCCCAGCTTCTCTTTTCAGGCACCCCTGCCCCACCTAGCTCAGTCCTGCTTTATTTTCCAGCTGGAATTTTCCAGGTAGCTTCCTACCTGGTCTTCCAGCCTCTAGTTTCTGGCCACTGTTCATCCTACACATCACTATTACGTTACACTTCTGAAAGTGCAACTCGTCACATCATTCTCATCATCGTCGTTAGCACGTCATCTACTGCTCCCAAATAAACTGGAAATCCATCTCCACGTTGCTAGACTCTTCCCAACAGACAACTCCAGTTTATCCTCCCACCCTACTTCCAGAATCACCAGCCCAACTGTTCAGCCAGTTGTTCCCTGAACCCCATGTTCCCTGCCTCCTTGCCTTGTTCTTGCTGTTCTTCCTGTCTAGAATACACCCACCCACGTCTCTGCCTCTTGAAATTCTAGTAATCTTCCAACTCCTCTCTGAACAAGCATCTCATCATGAAGCCTTTTTCTTTGTTTCTACAACCAAAATTTCTCCTTGATTCTTCCTTTTCCTATGTGCCTCTCCTTTGGCATGTAATCTTTTCATGCCTTGTAGCGACTTGTGTACTTGATGTATTCCCTTATGACAATATACACTCTTACAGCCCAGGAACTGGCTCTTAATCATCTTTACAACTCTCAATGCACTGAGTGACAGGGGGACCTGGCAGGTTTTGGTACTTGTAAATATCAAATTAAAGTAGAACAAATAGGCGTGCAGAGCTAGCCAGAGTCTCCGAAGGAGGAATAAGACAAAGGAACAGAGGGCTTTGAGAACAACACCTGGGGAATATCCACATTTCAGGGGCTGAATGGATGAGAAAGGCTGGCAAAGGGGATAGAATGGACATTTCAATCAAACCTGACCCCCATCGGAAGCAGTCACTTACAGCTGACAGAGACACCAGCACTCGCTGGAACATGAATGATGTGTCAGAGCGAATGTCATCTTCAAGGCTCCGTCCGTATTCTAGCAAGGGAGTGAAATTAGCTACATGAGAATAAAGAGTCTTGCCCAATGCCCTGTCACACTTCAGAGCAATCTGTCCCCTCAAGACCAGCCTGCTTATGGGAGCAGCTTACCATGAGGTTTTTCACCCCCGACACAGGTTTTCCAAAACTAAACTCGGGTAAAATGGTCAAGATAAGCTTATCCTGTCATCATAGTGAAACAAGATATTTCTGTTTTTGGTTTTGTTTCTTTTGAGTTGGAGTCTCACTCTGTTGCCCAGGCTGGAGTCTGGAGTGCAGTGGCACCATTTCAGCTCACTGCAACACCCGCCTCCTGGGTTCATGCAATTCTCCTGCCTCAGCCTCCTGAGTAGCTGGGATTACAGGTATGTACCACCACGCCTGGCTAATTTTCTTATTTTTAGTAGAGATGGGGTTTCACCATTTGGCCAGGCTGGTCTTGTACTCCTGACCTCAGATGATCCACCTGCCTTGGCCTCCCAAAGTTCTGGGATTACAGGTGTAAGACACCATGCTCAGCCAAGATATTCCTGTTTCTTAAAATGTGGGTTTGAAAAAGCTGGGGCTGAAGTCCTCCCTCTGTGCTTCCTGCCATCCAGGGGTCCGATCTGAACGTGGTTCTCAATGATGCAGAGAGAGAGCTGCAGCTGTGGAGGGGCCACTGCTGCTTCACTGATGGAAGACAACCAGATCGGAGCTTCTGAACCCTGCTTTGGGGTGGGGCTGGGGTTGGGGAGCTGTCCAATGTAAATCCTAGGATATGCCTTTCTGCCACGTCTCTCCCTTGGGAAGTTCTGACAGATTATCCATGAGAAGCTCAAGGCCGAGTGCAGTGGCTCATGCCTGTAATCCCAACACTTTGGGAGGCTGAGGAATTCAGATTGCTTGAGCCCAGGAGTTCAAGACCTGCCTGGGCAACATGGTGAATGCCCATCTCTACAAAAAATATAAAAATTAGCTGGGCATGTTGGTGCATGCTTGTAGTCCCAGCTGCAGGGGAGGCTGAGGTGAGAGGATCACCTCAGCCTGGGGAGGTCAAGGCTGCAGTGAGCCATGATCATGCCACTTGCACTCCAGCCTGGGCCACAGTGCAAGACCCTGTCTCAAAAAAAATGGCAGGGGGAGCTTCAGCAAGAACTTCGCCACAATTAATTTTTAAGAAGCAAAAACAAAAAGAGAAGCTCTAGCCCTTCACAGCCCTCAGAGAAGAAAACCCTCATTGGGCAGATGTGGGGATCAGATTGCTAAATCCAAACTCCTAAGGTTTAGAATCTCCTGCTCTGAACACTTCCCACAAAGCTCTTACTGTGGTTGTTTTCTTTCTATAAAGGTAACACACGTTGACCACAGAAGACTTAGGAAAAAGCAAATAAGTAAAATGAAGGGGCAAGGCAAGGAACTCCACTGCAATCTAATCACCTAGAAATAATAATCATGGCTAACATTTCCGTGAATATCCTTCTGCATTTTCCCCCACATACACACATTACTTTTGTTTATTTAAAGAATAATGTCTTATTAACTGTGTGTGTTAATTTTTTAAAAATAGGATCATAGCACACTATTTTACAGCTTATCTTTTTAACATACATGCATACATATACACACCACATCATTTAATAAATATTTTAATAAAATTCTTAGCCAGGTGCTGTGGCCTCACACCTATAATCCCAGCACTTTGGGAGGCCGAGGTGAGCAGATTGCTTGGGCCCAGGAGTTTGAGACCAGCCTAGGCGGCATGGTGAAACCCCATCTCTACAAAAAATACAAAGATTAGCTGAAGCCCAGAAGGTCGAGGGTGCAGTGAGCTGAGATTGTGCCACTGCACTCCAGCCTGGGCAACAGAGTGAGACCCTGTCTCTAAACAATAATAACAGGAACAACAAAACAAAAAATACCAGTTAAATAAAAGGAAAACAAATTAATTTTTTTTGAGACAGAGTCTCACTCTATCACCCAGGCTGGAGTGCAGTGGCACAACCTCAGCTCACTACAATCTCTGCCTGCCGGGTTTAAGCAATTCTCTTGCCTCAGCTTCCTGAGTAGCTGGGACTACAGGCACACACCACTATGCCCAGCTAATTTTTTGTGTCTTTTAGACAGGGTTTCCCCTTATTGCCTAGGCTGGTCGCGAACTCCTGAGCTCAGGCAATCTGCCTGCCTCAGCCTCCCAAAGTGCTGGGATTACAGGCGTGAGCCACCATGCCTGGCCAATATTCTTTAATATAAATTTTAATTACTACATAACAGTTAGTTGTGTACGTGTATCATATTTTTTTTTAGCCAATCTGCTACTGTGGAACATTTTTCGCTAACATAGACAATACTGAATAAACACTGTGAGATCTAAATCTTTGTGCATTTTAAGTTATATTCTTAGGGCAAAAGGTCAGGCTTTTTTTTTTTTTTAATTTATTTTAAGAGGAAGTTTTGCTCTTGTTGCCCAGGCTGGAGTGTAATGACGCGATCTCGGCTTACCGCAACCTCCAAAAGTCAGGGATTTTTAACAGGCACTTCATATGTATTACCCTCTGGAGGTTTCTAAGGGGGAGTGAATGGCTGTCATTCTGATTTGGCTGGAGGACATATAGTCAGGTCTGGAGGGAAGAATTTAGGCCAGACAGCCCCTCTAGACCATTCCTTGGAATGCTGAGATCTGCTGGTGCCACCACTTTTGAATAAATCCCTTAGATTCTTTGTCTGATGATAAGGAACAACTTTCCAACTTTTAGGGTAATAAAATACTACACTGGGTAGGCGAAATAGAGTGTCATCTTCACCTGAGAAATCTTAAGAAGCCAACAGACCGCCATTTGCCTAAACAGGGATCTCCCTTGAAGCAGAGCTTGGCACCGAGGATCCCTCATGCTCAGCGTTCTGTGAAAAGTCTAAACAGCAGACAACCACCCGCTGCTACCCTCCTTCTCTAGTCCCAGCAAAACCTCAGCCAGGGCCACTGCGGATGTCACATACGCTGCTGGTAGGTTTGGCTTATGCGCCGGATCTCCTCGGGGGTCCGAGAGGCCAGGATCTCAATTAGGCAGCCCTCATCAGTGCCGGCTCCCTAAACAAGAAACCAGAGGAGAGAACTATATGAGCCAGTTTACAAAGCTGAGGCCCAGACACAGAAGAAATACAGCCATCAATCTGCAGAGAATAAAAGCAATCCACTGTGTTCTAGCAACAGGATTTGTTCACTTTTAATTGTCCCGCCCCAAACCCAACATGTTTGTCATAGTAATTCTGAGTAATCACAAACATTTCTAGGCTGTTTACTATGTGTTGGTTACCATGCCACGTTAGGTACAGTTTCTGCCCTCTGGGGGCTGAATTTTTCCTTGACCTCTTCTGCTCTCTTCCTCTGAAGAACAGAATTTTCTGGCAAAGACTTTGTTATGTCTTTGCTTTCCCAGAGCCTGGCCCAGAACCTTCCAAAAGGCTATTTGTTGACATGGTTTGAGGAGGGTAATTGTACTCAACTTATGATGAGGTTACATCTCAATACATTGAAACATTTTAAGCAGAACCACCCTAAGTTGGGGACCATTTGTATTTGCATCACATACTTGGTCATTAAAATTCGGCAGACCCATGCTAGAGCACAGCGGGTAGATCATCTAGGGAAGCCAAGAACGCTTTTGCCAGTTCTAAGCCTATAGTAGACCTGGGGGCCCCTGAGGTGTCAGTCATAAAGTTACATACCTCAAAAGTAGTTAACATGACAAGGAAGTCTCTAGAGCTGTACTCAAGCAACAACTATAATCACTCCCCATCAAGCCACAGGAAGGAGCAAATGACCCCCTAACTTTTGGGAAAATAATTTTTAAATTATAATTGGTATAATGTAATGTAATGTTTTCAAGTTGTCACAAATGAAAGAAAATCTCCTATACTTTATCTACCATTTTCAGAAGGCCTTGGTCACAGTTTTTGTCTTTTTTTCTTAAATTTAACTTTTATTTTAAGTTCAGGGTACATGTGCAAATTTGTTAAATAGATAAACTTGTGTCATTGGGGTTTGTTATACAGATTATTTCATTACCCAGTATTAAGCCTAGTCCCCATTAGTTATTTTTCCTGATCCTCTCCCGCCTCCGACCCCCCACCCTCCAACAGGCCCCAGTGTGTGTTGTTCCCTTCTATGTGTCCATGCGTTTTCATCATTTAGCTCTCACTTGTAAGTGAGAACATTTGGCATTTGGTTTTGTGTTCCTGAGTTGGTTTGCTAAAGATAATGGCCTCCAGCTCCATCCATGTTCCTCCAAAGAATATGATCTTGTTCCTCTTTACAGCTACATAGTTTTCCATGGTGTATACGTACTACATTTTCTTTAACCAGTCTACCATTGATAGGCATTTAGATTGCTTCCATGTCTTTGTTATTGGGTGATAGTTTCTTAAGAAGCACATCAGCGTTTGCACTAATAGAACCAACAGCACGAGAAGAAGAGCACAAACCTTCATGGCCCTTCGCAGCTCTTGCACGTCATACAGCACCGTGGGCGTCATCATCCCCACAATCACCTGCTCGAAGTTGCCACTCAGTTCTGACTTCAGGTCATCTATCAAGTCCTGCAACACAAGAAAGTAGCTCTGCTTAACTGCTATGGCAAATTAAACCAGCCACTCTCCAGGTGTGGTCCAGAGATGTCTAGGGTCTCCAAGACCCTTTCAAGGAGACTGTAAGTCAAATCTATCCTCAGAATAACACCAAGATGTTATCTGCCTTTTCACTGTCATTCACAAGCATACAGTGGAGTTTTTCTAAGGCTATTGGACATTATCTGCACATCAATAACTATCTGTTAAAATGCTCCCTCCGAGTACAAACCTGTACAAGACCAGATTTTCTTCATATATCATAACAAATTGAATGTAGAAACAGATATGAGAAACCATCTCTCTTCTATTAAGCCAGAAATTAAAGAAGTTTGCAAAATGTAAAACAATGGTAATCTTCTCACTAAACTTTTTTTGTTTTGGAATATATAGCTGTTTTTCATTAAACTGTTATTTACGGTAACATACAATACACATTGTTATTTTTACTAAGTTAACAAATACCTATTTTTAGATGCCCTCAGTTTTAATTTCTAATAGGGTAAATATCAAAAGATACAACTCAAAAAACCAAAAGTCCTAAAAAATTTAAGAGGTAAAGGAGCCTTGAGGTTAATAAGTTTGTAGACATCTATGTAAATGTATTTGCCTACTTCACAATATGTCTTGAATATATTTCCAAGTCAATATTCACCGATGACCTTTTTAACAGCTGTGGAGATTTCTATACATAGGTACAATATGATTTTTTTTTTTGAGATGGAGTCTTGATCTGTTGCCCAGGCTGGAGTGCAGTCGCACAACCTTAACTCACTGCAGCCTTCGCCTCCTGAGTTCAAGTGATTTTCCTGCCTCAGCATCTCAAGTAGCTGGGATTACAGGCACCTGCCAACACACCTGGCTAATTTTTTTTGTATTTTTAGTAGAGACAGGGTTTCACCATGTTGGTCGGCTGGTCTTGAACTCCTGACCTCAGGTAATCCACCCTCCTCAGCCTCCCAAATTGTTGGGATTATAGGCGTAAGCCACTGTGCCCGGCCTAATATCTTTAGCTAGTCACCTGTTTCTGTTTTTCTACTGTTATATATATAAGGCATTTAGTTGTATCTTTGTGATCATTCATGATTATTTCTTAAGTCTCAATTCCTAAGATACAATTTCCAAATATAATTTGGAAAATGAATCAAATTGTAAAGATGTTTGTTCACATTTGCTCCTGGAATGGGTCAGAGAGTTTAAGAACCTGTTTGAGATCAATTGACTAAGAAGGAGCTGAGTTGCTATTCCATTTTTGTCATTGTTGTTTTTCAGGAGTCTAGCTCTGTTGCCAAGGCTGGAGTGCAGTGGTGTGATCTCGGCTCACTGTAACTTTCACCTCCTGGGTTCAAGCATTCTTCTGCCTCAGCCTCTGAAGTAGTTGGGATTACAAGTGCCCACCACCATGCCCGGCTAATTTTTGTATTTTTAAGTAGAGATGGGTTTTCACCATGTTGGCCAGGCTGGTTTCAAACTCCTGGCCTCAAGTGATCCTCGTGCCTCAGCCTCCCAAAGTGCTGGGATGACAGGTTCAACCACCACACCTGGCCTCAAGAACATCTTTAAACAAGACAAAGGAGCAATCTTTTAAAACACAGGGCCACTTCAGGAACCTAGCAGGAAGAGGCCCTGCTTCCTGTTGCTGCCAAGTCAGCCACACAGAGCAGGAGAGACTGCAGCCTACCCTGCCAATGGTGCTCTTGTAGGCGGTCCTGATCTCCTGGCGCTGGGCGGTGTTGCGGTAGGCAAGGACGCTAATAATGGCATCTTCATCAGTGCCTGGGGGCAGAACGGAGACAGCAGGTGAGTGTGATTTGAGAGATGAATGAGAAAGCGGGTTCCTCTGAGGACACTGGAATTAACCACACGCAGAGGGCTTCCTAAGACATCCTTATTCAGAGGATTTGTCTACTTTTTGGGAAACAGATGCTAGATTCGAGACATAGCCTCTCTTTTAATTAGCTGTTTACCACTGAACAAAATGGTTAACTTTTCTAAACATTAGTTTCCTTATCTGCAAATGTGAATGATGACAGTGCTTTCCCTCAATAGGCTGCTGCGAGGGTTAAACAATATATTTAAGTGCCTAGCACTTACTAAACATTTAATAAACATTGGCTGGAGTAATTCTTCCTCTCTTCTAGAATTTTTTTTTTTTTTTTTTTTTTTTTTAGAGGAAATCTTGCTCTGTTGCCCAGGCTGGAGTGCAATGGCACAATCTCGGCTGACTGCAACCTCTGCCTCCTGGGTCCAAGTAATTCTCCTGCCTCAGCCTCCTGAGTAGCTGGGATTACAGGGAATGTGCCACCACGCCCAGCTGATTTTTGTATTTTAGTAGAGACAGGGTTACACCATGCTGGCAAGGCTGGTCTTGAACTCCCGATCTCAAATGATCTGCCTGCTTTGGCTTCCCAAAGTGCTAGGTTTACAGGTGTGAGCCACCATGCCTGACCATCTTCTCTAAAATTTTTTTCATGTCTTTTGGATCTGCTATATCTCTCCTTCATATTCTTGCCTTTTCTTTGTTTTTATCTCTTTATCATCTCCTCTGAGTTTTGAAACAATTCAGACATGTCTTAATTCACCAATTTGGCATTTTGCAGAGTTTAAATTGGCTGTTGCTGCATTCACTGTGTTTTAAAATCTGGAACTATGTTTTTCACTTCTAAGCTATCTTTCCTGAGCTCAAATGATTCCCTTTTAGAACTGCTGACAAATTACCATGATACAACATCTTACCAAAACTTTAAGCTATAAATTACAAAAAATGTCCTAAGTTTTGCTTGCCTGTTTCTTGCAGCAGCTTTTACAAGGAGACTTTATTTTGATTTTTCAAATTGGTCCCTTGTCTTTATAACAGCTGGATGTTCATAAATGTTTAGTGAATTTTCTGTTTCCTTGTTGTTTACGCTGTATGGGGGGCTGACATGGGTTTCAGAAGTGATTCTATTGAAAATATTTCAGGGAGAAATGAAAAAATACAGCTTCATCTTAGTTATCCTTGGCAAGATTAGAGATGCAGAAAGATGTGAGGTGTGGAAAGGAAGCTATAGAACTTTAAGTTTACATACCTTAAGGACCTACTTTTTTTTTTTTTTTTTTTTTTTGAGATGGAGTTTTGCTCTGTTGCCCAGGTTGGAGTGCAGTGGCAAGATCTCGGCTCACTGCAACCTCCGCCTCCCAGGTTCAAGCAATTCTTCTGCCTCAGCCTCCCTAGTAGCTGGGATTACAGGCACCCACCACCATGCCTGGCTAATTTTTTTTTTTTTTGTATTTTCTAGTGGAGACAGCGTTTCACCATGTTGGCCATGCTGGTCTCAAACTCCTGACCTCAGGTGATCCACCTGCCTCAGCCTCCCAAAATGCTGAGATTATAGGCATGAGCCACCATGTCCAGCCATGTTCCTATTTTTAAAAAGGAGAGGACAATCCATGTAACAATCCATTTATCCCTTGGCACTCTCAGCTGGGGGGCTATGTTGGGGGGGGGACACAGAGGGTTCATTACCTTTTGTCTACCCCATTGCTGTGAAAGGGATCCCTCTTCCTGTTTCTGTGAAAGGGATCACTCTTCCCCCCAGTCAAGCCAAGCTGAAATTCTCAAAATAGCTTTAATTTTTTTTTTTTTTTTTTTTGTGACGGAGTCTGGGTCTGTGGCCAGGCTGGAGTGCAGTGGCACCATCTCAGCTCACTGCTGGAGTGCAGTAGCACCGAGTGGCTGGGATTACAGGCACCTGCCACCACGCCCAGCTAAGTTTTGAATTTTTGTAGAGATGGGGTTTCACCATGTTGGCCAGGATGGTCTTGATATATTGACCTTGTGATCTGACTGCCGCGGCCTCCCAAACTGCTGGGATTAAGAGAAAGCACAAGAGAAAAACTAAGGCTCTAGTGGCTGCTTTGCAGGCTTGCAGAGTGCAGGATCCTTGGGAAGCATCCACTAATTGCTCCTGGTGTGGCAAGCCAGGGCACTTTAAGAAGAATTGCCCAGGCAACAAGAAAAAGCCACCTTGACCCTGTCCAGTCTGTGGTGGAGATCACTGGTAAATTGCCCCTGGAGATGGAGGTCGCTGGGTCGAGAACTGGTCTCACAGATGGTCCAGGAGGACTGACAAGTCCTGGGGCTCAAACTCCTGGCTCCAGTGGCTCAGACAGCCATCACTGCTCAGGAGCCCTGAGTGATTCTGGAAATTGAAGGGAGGGGTTGAGCTTCCTCCTGGATGCTGGAGCCAGTCTCTGTTCTCCTCTCCAATCCAGGCCTCCCCTCTTCCCAACCGTGGTGGGTGTCTCAGGGAAGACTGTAACCTAGTATTTCTCTTAACCCCTTAGCTGTAGTTGGGGGGACTTATTATTTATACATTCCTTCTTAATTAGAGCCTAAAAGTCTCACTCCTTTATTAGGTAGACACATTTTAGCCTGCATAGGGGCAGCATCCTCATGGCCCCAGGACAGACTCCTTGTCTTCCCTTAGTGAAAGCCATTATTAATCCAGAAGTGTGGGCAACTCAAGGAAGAATAGGTCAAGCTAAAACTGCTAGGCCAGTTCAGATCCACCTTAAAAATCCCACTTCTTTTCCTAATCAGAGACAATATCCTCTGAAGTCAGAGGCCAGAAAAGGGCTAGACGCTATTGTAAATAATCTAAAAACACAGGGCCTCCTCAAATGCTGTAACAGTCCTTGCAACCCCAATACTAGGAGTGTGAAAACCCAATGGGGAATGGAGACCAGTTCAGGACCTCCGCCTCGTTAATGATTCATCCAGTGCCCTAATGCCTACACCTTGCTGACTCAAATACCTGAGGGAACTAAATGATTTATAGTCCTAGAGTTAAAGGATGCCTTTTTCTGCAAGGTTACATCCTAACTCTCAATACCTGTTTGCCCGTAAGGGTCCCTCTGGCCAGACGATGCAGTTAACATGGTTGGTGCTGCCTCAGGGATTTCCAAACAGCTCTCACTAGTTTGGACAAGCACTGCCAAAGGACCTCTCTAAGTTCTCCCACCCTCAGGTCAGGGTCTTGCAGTGTGTAAATGACACTTTCCTCTGTGCCCCAATCAAGGAAGCTCAGGAAGGTGCTAAGACTGTCCTCAATTTCAGCTAAGGCTGAAAGGGAGTGTAGAGTCTCAAAATCTAAAGCTCAGCTCTGTCAGACTTCAGTACAGTACCTAGTTCTGGTCTTATTGGGAGGGATCAGAGTACCAGGTGAGGAAAGGATTCAGTGCATTTCCTTTAATAGTTAGGAAAATTGTTGGGCATTACTGGATTTTGTAAACTGTGAGTACCTGGGTGCAGGGAAATGGCTCACCCTTTACACCACCTCATAAAAGAAACTCAAGCAGTTAAAACTCACACCCGTTTTTTGGGAACCTAAGGCTCAAAAAGCCTCTAACCAGCTAAAACAAGCCTTGCTTAAAACACCAGCCCTCAGTCTTCCCACGGGGAAAGAATTTAGTCTTGATATATCAAAAAGGAAGGAAATGGCCCTGTAAGTTTTAACTAAGGCTTGAGGTCCAGCTCAACAGCCAGTGAGTTGCTTAAGCAAGGAACTTAACTTGGTGGCCAAGGGATGGTCAGCCTGCCTCCAAGCAGTTACAGTGGAGGCTTTGCTGGTGCCAGAGGCCACTGGGTTAACCATGGGAAAGAACTTAACTGTTTAACCCTATATGGTGTAACAGGACTGTTGTCCTCTAAGGAAAGTCTCTTGCTAACGATTGCCTCCTCAAATACCAAGCTTTGCTACTAAAGGGATCTGCCGCCCGTTGAAAACCTGCCCTTGCCTGAGCCCAGTCACTTTCTCTGAAAGAAAACTGGAGAACCTGAACACGACTGTGAACAGGTAAGTGGAGCAAACTGGTAAAAGAAATAATAAGAATCACTGTTTGCGTCCTCTGTAAAGTTTTAATTAATGAAAAAGGATTTTCTTAAAGAGCATTCAGCTTAATTCAAAGTGGATATCTAAACTATGAGTATATTTAAAAGGTCTTTATGTTTTTCTCTTCATAAATCTTCTTTTCCTGGAAAAGGTTTTTTTCTCAGTTGACTGAATTGCTTCTTTTACTGTGTCTTGCCACTCTTGGTGCCTGCATGAAAGACTCCAGGTGATTTCCGGTGGCCTGCAACTCCTCGGGAAAACAGAAAAGGCGCCACAAACCCCATTTTAAGAAAAACCTCTGTTTTCCTTATGGGATCCCTAGAATTAAAGGTGAATAAGTCCCTCTCAAAATCTGTCTTTGTCTTCTGACTATGATTGCTTATTAGGCCCTGGAAACTGCATTCCTAGCTATATTCTTAAGGGGCCTCACTCGGAGGCCAATAATCCAATTGGGACATTGGCAGATGCAAAATTTTATAGCTACTGGATCTTCTTCTGTTTGTCTGTGTGGTTATATATGTGTTTTATATATGTAATGTCTGTTTTTTAAAAAACAGGGCGCTCTAATTAATTGGCCTAAGAAAAATAAGCACAAATATTTTTACGGGAAAAGTAACAGCTGTGGTAACTTTCAGTTCACATTACTTTAATCTTTAAAAATAAAAAGAGTCTTAGAAATTTTTGGTAAAACATAAACGTCTTTAAGGTGTAAAAATGTGGTCTAAATCAAGCAGGTCAAATACTAGGTTTGCTAAATGCTTTACGGTTGTAAACTGCTTCCTTAGCCTTTACAAACTGTCAGCTTGCCTGCTTCACAATTGGTAGGGCCTGGGAACATATGAAGGTAACCATGCCCCTAACTACGCTGAAAGGAGTCAAACTTTATCTGCATCTAGCACATAATTAAAACAACCTAATACTTTTATATTCAAGTTAAAAATTACTAAAAGTTACCATTATAACATGTGATTGAAACTAATGACCATGGAATTGCATGCAAAGTGTGTAAAAACAGTAAAAGGTGTTCTTATTTAAAGATTATAAGAAGGCATGGAAAAGTATATTTTGCTTAGGAATAAATAATTGTTTTAAATAAAGTAGAAGGTTTAAGCACATTGTAAAAAAATCGTAAAAATTAATCTTGTGAAGAAAACTCTGTGAGAACATATTAACTAAATTCAAAAGGGTATATTTTTTTCTGAAAATTAATCACTGAAATAAAAGCACAGCAAAGTTTTCTTAAAATGCTAATATACTCTTTAGCAAAACTTGTCAAGGGTTATCACAGGCATGTGAAAATCTCACTTCATGGTCAAACTGGTTAAAATTAAATAGGATTGTCTATAAAGTTTCCTTAAAAAATAAGGTTAACATTAATAGCAAACTAACGCAAGGGTAAATTTAACTTCCCTCTTAAATTTTCACGTAATAGAAAAGGCTAATGAGTGGCTTTTGCATTTTCAAATTTTAATTTCAATTTTCTGGCTCATCCTTTTGGCAAAAACAAAACACTTATGGTAATCTAAAATTCTATTTCATAATATCAAGTGTTTTAAATTTTAAATATACTTAACAGGCTTCCCAAAGTCAAGCTTGCCTCAAGTTTGTCTTTCCTAACCCCTGGCTTTTGGGTGCTGCAGAGGGTCCCTGAAACATCCAGAAGAGAGGTAAACAGAAAGATTTAACATGTTGAGGTACATAAAATTGCCAAAATGATGTCTAATACTATATTTTAGCAAATAATATTAATGCTTGAAAACTGTATGGGATGCCCGAAGTTCTAGTGTCTGAATATGTGCTATTAATCACAATTAAGGTTGTTACGTTGGGTTTTTGAAAACCACAAAAATAACCAAGTTTCTTTGTCAATTGTGTTTCTGACTATATCCAAACTGGACATTTTGTCATTTACAGACAATTGTTGTTTTGTTTTAATTCTCTTCGAAAGATGGTTTATAATCAAGCCGTGGGACTTTAACAAGTTCTCTCCGATGCAGGTTTGTCACGACCAAAAAATGTACAGAACTCATAAAAGCCTAAAATATTTATGAATATCAAACAAAACAAAAGTTAACGGAATGAACTGAACTAATAGAAAACTAAAACAATATTCTTCATTTATGCTTAGAACACTGCTAATCCTTATTTTGTTTTTCAGAGTCAAAAAAACTTGTCTTAAGCTAGCTACAACCTTTGACAACTAAGCAAACTGTACTCCTATAGGCAAAGTTTGGAGCATGTTTATTTCTCTCTGCCTAATTCCTCTGGAATTTGGAAACTAATTATAAGTATTCTTAAATTACAACAATATAGTTGTTTGCATCAGTGCAGCAATAATCCATTTTCTTTTCTTTTTTTTTTTTTTTGAGATGGAGTCTCACTCTGTTGCCCAGACTGGAGTACAGTGGTGCAATCTTGACTCAACGCAACCTCTGTCTCCAGTGTTCAAGTGATTCTCTTGCCTCAGCCTCCTAAGTAGCTAAGACTACAGGCGCGCACTACCATGCTCAGCTAATTTTTGTATTTTTAGTAGAGATAGGGTTTCACCATGTTGGCCAGGATGGTCTTGCTCTCTTGACCTCGTGATCCACCTGCCTCGGCCTCCCAAAGTGCTGGGATTACAGGCCTGAGCCACCGTGCCCGGCCAAGAATCCATTTTCTTTTGCAACAAAATGCAATTGGAAAAACTGGTTGTTTTACCAAGGTTTTGACTGGAAGGCTATGTTTCCCTTTAAGGAATCAAGCTTAACTTGCTGAGCCAATAAAAGCCCCTGGGGAAAACTGGCCTTATTCCTCTCTACACAGTCTCCATACAAGGTTCCTGACCTGCGGTGAGTAAAGAACGTCACTTTCTAACAGGCCTAGGAAGCTCATGCTTCTGGAACCTCAAGAAGGAAAGAAATTTACCCAACTCATAGGAATTTAAAGGTACAAACAAATGGTTGGGCTTAGCTTTAAAAAGTCCTATCTAAAGTTCCTCATGGAACAAGTTTCCATCAAAGCCAATCTAAAGGGCCTATGTAAAGATGATTATTCTTGCTGTACTTTATGCAAATTATTAGACCAAGTATAGGACTGAAGTCTGTTTTGCAAACAGCTCAGGCCTATCACAGATTGTTTTTAACAAAAATGAGGACTGGGGAAAGAGAAATGAAGTTTTGAAACTTTGCCATACATCCGTTATTAAGTTCTAGTCTCATTAGTTGTTTTAAAGTTCTTGCCTACATTTTAAACTAACCCTGCTTATTCCTGTCAACCAACCAGCCATCTGTGGCTGCAGCTCAGGGACAACAGAGAGGCATGGGTAATATAAAAATCTGGGAACATGTTCTAGTTCTGGGCAATTATCCTACAAATCCTGCCAGGTAATCTGTAACCCCAAGGTTTCCTTTTTTTGAGGGGGAGAAAGTAAGGAGAAGGAAGCGAAACAAAGCCAAGCCCATACACCCACTTACAACAGCACAACCCATCTACATGGCTCACAGGTATCAAACAAACTTTGTTGTCATGGTTACGGCCTATAGTGCTCCCACTAATAGTAGTCTTAATATTCATATTTGGACCCTATATTCTAAACCATATATTCTTCTTGGAAAGTTTATCTCTTCTCGCCTAAAAACCATCAAGCTTCAGATGGTGCTGCAAATGCAGCCGAAAATGAAACCACTCTCCCACCAGGGACCCTGAAATCAACCCCAGGAGGAGCCCTGGCTGCTGTTCCCACACAGTGCCACTCCCCAGCAGGAAGTAGCCAGAAGAAATCGTCACAGTTTCCTCTCACAGCAGTTAGGGGTTCTATTCCTGAGGGTGAAATATGTTATAGGAGGCAGAAAGAAAGTATTTAGGTAGACAGGGTAAACTGAGTCCCTGGCAGAAAACTTTCCTTTTAACAAAAAGCAGCTCAAAACTAGCTCTTTTTCTAACCTCATGCAGTTCAAAAAATCACTTCTCTTCTAACAACAAGCAGCCTAAAAGTTCAGGCTGTAAAACACAGAGAAGACAGCTTGAGCACAGAAGGAGAGGGCGAAGTCTCCTGGGTAATCACCAAGCTTCATACTTATACAATGGCCCCAGCAAAAGAGGGGGTCTTAATAAGCACATTCCTTTTCCTCTAGGTACACTAAGATAGAGAAGCTAAAAGCAGACTTGGGGGGATGTCTGCAGCTGCCAGAAGATGTATGGGAACAGACACAGAAATTCTCCTTCCCAGATAAGCAAGACAAAGAAACACAGAGTAGGAGTCAGCCTCTGTGGTCAGGGAATGGGATAAGACCTAATTAAAAAAACCCTCCGCTCTATACAGATAGCACACCTGGTCCCAACTAAACCATCAGGCTCTAGGAGGATAAGGGTCCCCTCCTCATGAGCTCCCTCCTCAGTAGCCCATTTATGAAAACCCTAACATTTTCACTATCACTTGGCAACCGGCTGGGATCCCTCTCTGTGATGGAGAGCTGTTCTTTTCTTTTGTCTATTAAATTCCTGCTCCAAACTCACTTGTGTGTGTGTGTGTGTGTGTGTGTGTGTGTGTCTGTGACTGCAATCTCCTTGTCCGTGACACCAAAAACCTTGGTATTTACCCCAGACAACAAGGCTGCTTCACCAGCCTTCTCACATTAAATTCCACACATTGCATGTCAGTGCTGTCACAGCTGTGTCTATCACCACAGCAACAAGCAGAGGGACTCAAGGCAAGAATGTGGAATTAGCACGGATTGGCCTAAGCTTGAGATGGGGATCTGTCGAGTGTGAGCCAGGGCTCAGTTCCACTCACTATGCCACTTGGTAAGAGTTACTTGGCCTTTTTGGGTCTCAGTTTCACATCTGTAAAATGGGCTAAAATAACAACAGGAATAGCTCCTTTCACTAAATCACAAGTTGCTGCATATATCCAAGGAGGTAACGTTTGTGAAAGTGCTTTGTAAATCTTATGGCACCATATACATACCAGCCCTGATTGGAAAATAAATACATTTCTAAAATTTAATATGCAGATTCATGATTTTGTAATTCAGAGCAGGTTTAAACAATTGGGGAAATCCATGAGTATATTAAATTTATCATTATTAAAGTGAAGAACTAATGCCTGTCCCCCTCCAATTTGTCCCAACTTATCTCAACTTCTCCCATGTGTTTTCTTTCCCTCCCTCCGTCTCTTCCTTCTTTCCTTCCTTCTTCCCTTCTTTCCTTCTTTCTTTCTTTGAGATGGAATCTCGCTCTGTCATCCAGGCTGGAGCGCCATGGCAATATCTCAGCTCACTACAACCTTCACCTCCTGGGTTCAAGTGATTCTCCTGTCTCAGCCTCCCAAGTAGCTGGGATTACAGGTATGCGCCACCATGCTCGGCTAATTTCTTTATTTTTAATTGAGACGGGGTCTTGCTATGTTGGCCAAGCTTGCCTCAAACTCTTGGCCTCAAGAGATCCGCCTGCCTCAGCCTCCTGAGTGCTGAGATTATAGCCATCAGCCACCGTGACTGGCCTCCCTTGTGTTTTATTAAAGGAAGGCCCACATGATGGCCAGGAGACATGGTGCCCTCTTGTGTGACCCTGTGTTGTGCAGTGCATGCAGGAGGATTCACTTCCCGCAGGACACTTACCAAGCCCTTTCATGGCCTTCCTCAGGGTCTGGGCATCTTCCATGGCATTGAATCCTGAAGCAGCTTTGACAGTACCTCCTTTAGTTGCCTGAGCACACAGAGAGCAATGTTACTGAGAGGCAGCCTCTTTTTTTTTTTTTTTTTTTTTTTTTTTTTTTTTTTTTTTTTTTTTTGAGACGGAGTTTCGCTCTTGTTACCCAGGCCGGAGTGCAATGGCGCGATCTCGGCTCACCGCAACCTCCGCCTCCCGGGTTCAGGCAATTGTCCTGCCTCAGCCTCCCGAGTAGCTGGGACTACAGGCGTGCGCCACAATGCCCAGCTAATTTTTGTATTTTAAGTAGAGACGGGGTTTCACCATGTTGACCAGGATGGTCTCGATCTCTTGACCTCGTGATCCACCTGCCTCAGCCTCCCAAAGTGCTGGGATTACAGGCTTGAGCCACCACGCCCAGCGAGAGGCAGCCTCTTACCAACACAGAGGCATATCATTCCGCAAACATTTGCTGAGTACTGACCATAGCCTAGACAGTATTCCAGGTGCTGGGGATATAGCAGTGACCACAAAAAATGAAGCTCTTGCTCCCTGGAAGCTGATGCTCTAGCTTATGGGAGGCAGACAGTAAACAAGCCTAAAATTCACATTCCATAAAGTGCCTGGGGGTGAGTAGCGCTGTGAAGCAGACAGAGAGGTCCTGGAGGGCCCGTTCTGAGGCGTGACACTGAGGCTAAGAGCTGAATGAGAGGAAGCAGCTGACCATGCAAAGATGGAGGCAAGGGTTAGGGCAGAGGAAATGGCTTCTGCAAAGGCCCTGAGGCTGGAACTAGCTTGTAGGGAGAGCAGGATGGAGGCCAGTGTGGCTCAAGTTGGTGGGCAAGGAGGGGAGGGGGAGATGAATGACATCTCTATGGAATCCTATTCCCCACAAAAGGGAAAAATATCGAACCTGAATCTAATCAAGCTTCTAGAGCCAAAAACAAATTTACAGTAAACAGAGGAGAAAGGAGAATGTGAAACCACACCAAAGGATTGCAGTCAGCAAAATCCAGACTGAGATGCAGCACTTAGCCAACGATCTAGTTTCTTCCACAAATAAATTGCAAAGGGAATTTAAAGAGAGAGATAGAAGGAGGGAACTACTGTTTAAAAGACATTGGAAAGGAACATCAATGATCATAATGTGAACCTGTAGTGTCATAATTTGGATCATAAATCAAACAGTTAAAAAAAAAGACATTTATGAGACAATGGAAATTTGAACACTGACTTGATATCTGATGACACTAAGGACTTGGTTTTAACATTTTTAGGTATAAATTGGCATTATGGTGTTATTTCATTTTGAGAAGAATTTAATCTATTGAAATAGTTTACAGATGAAATGATAAGATATCTTGGGTTTGCTTCAAAATCACACAAGTGGAAAAAAAGAGGAGGTAAGTAGAAATGAAGAAACAGGCCGGACGGAGTGGCTCACCCTGGTAATCCCAGCCCTTTGAGAGGCTGAGGCAGGCAGATCTCTGGAACCAGGAGTTTGAGAACAGCCTGGGCAAACATGGTGAAACCTCATCTCTACAAAAACATACAAAAAAATTAGCCATACATGGTGGCATAGGCCTGTAGTCTCAGCTGCCCAGGAAGCTGAGGTGGGAGGATCTCTTGAGCCCAGGAGGTGGAGGTTGCAGTGAGCTGAGATTGCACCACTGTGCTCCAATCTGGGCGACAGAGTGAGACCCTGTCTCGAAAAAAAACAAAAACTAAAAACAAGAGTGGCCATCAGTTAATAATTATTGATAGGTACGCAAAGGGGTTCCTTATAGTATTCTGTTTACTTTTGTGCATGTTTAAAGTTTTCCATAATATAAAAATTTAAATGAATGAATTAAAAACAAATATAAGGAAAAAATAAATAAATATAAGGAAATCAGAGAGGTGGGCTGGGGCCAGCGCAAGGCAGTCCTTCCAAGCCAGATGAGAAGTTTGCATTTCATTCTAAGTACAGTAGGAAACCACTGACACGTTTTAAGCAAGTGGATGGGGACATGTGATCTGACTTATCTGTTTAAAAGATCCCCAGGCTGCTGTAGGGAGATGCAGAGACCATTTGAGAGCCTGGGCCAAGATCTGGGGGTGGGATATGAGCCAGACGAGGGTGAAATAGTTAAGACAGAAATAAACAGAAGAACAGACAGCTCAGCACATGTTTTGGAGCAAAGGCGACAGAACTTGCTGATGGACTGACGTGGGAGGTGAGGAAAGAAAAGAATCAAGTAAAACTCTAAATATTTTCCTGAGCAGCTGGGTATCATTTATCCAGAGGGAGAAAACTGGAGGAAGACTACCAGATTTAGGGTGGCAGTGTGGGGTGGGCTTTAGAAGTTCTATGTTAGAAATATTAAGTTTGGGATGTCCATTGAATATCTAAGTGGAATTGTCAAAAGGACAATTGGTTACACAATATAAGTCTAGAGGTCATGCCCAGCATAATAAAGTTAGGATGCATCAGCATTTAGGTGGTACTTGATGAGATGACCTGGAAAGAAAGTGAAAATAGGGAACAGGGACTTGGGATAAGCCTGGGTCTCTCCAACAGTACAGGTCCAAGAGACGACAGCCCAGAAAGGATGGCTTAGAAGGGACAGTCCTTCAGCTCATAGGAAATCCAGGACCGTGCACTGTCCAGAGGCTGAGGAAGGAGGGATTAGCTGGTGCCTGGTCTACTGAGAAGCTTAGTGGGAAGGAGCATTGGCATTGGAGTGGGGTAGACCCGGGGTTGATTCTTATCTTTACCATTTTCTAGCTGTGTGGCCTGGGGATGTTTCATTTTTCTCACTTGTATATTGGAAATAATGATAACTTACAGAAACAGGATAATACAGGAAAGCACTTAGTACAAAACCCAGAAAAAGTAAACACTAAAACAAAAACTCAGACTTGATGCTATCATCATCATCATTATCATCATCAAAGAGGACTTCAGCTGTACCTCTATAATAAATAAAATAATGAGATTATTTTGCCTATTTCTTGTATTATTCCTCCACATAAGTCTATGGGGTAATGCCAAAGCAGAATTTAGGATGGAGCATTTGTACAAGGTGGCAAAAACGGTGTAGAATAGAGCTAAAGTTTTCTGATAATCTAACTGGATCCAAAGAATGTAATATGGACCATCTAAAGGAATAGAGGATTTTTAAACCGTTAGTGCAGTTCTCTAGCAAGGCAGATTTGAGCTTCCTGCATTAGACCACCCTGGCCTAGACCTCTCAGGTCCATCGTGGCCCACATCAAGCCCACTCAAGTCCTCAGATACCCAGGGTATGGACCTTCTCTGCCAGAAGACCAGGCTTTCATGTCTTGGATACAGTAAGCATTGGCACTTGGTCATCATCCTCTATACATCTGGCAGAGGAAGGTAGATAGAAATTTATGACATCAACTTTTTTGGGCACCGTTATTGGTTGAATTGTATCTCTACCCCAAAAAAGACATGTTGAAGTCCTAACCTCCAGCATCTCAGAATGTGACCTTATTTGGAAATAGGGCCACTGCTGATGTCATCAGTTAAGATGAGGTGATACTAGAGCAGGGTAGGCCCCTCTTCCAATATGACTGGTGTCCTTATAAGATGATGTGGATATGTGAGGCACCATAAGACAAAGGCAGAGATGGAAGTTATGCAGCAGCAAGCCGAGGAATAGCTAGGATTGCCAGCAAACCCCCAGAAGCTAGGAAGAGGCCCAGAAGGCTTCTGCACAGGTGTCAAAGGGAGCACAGCCCGGCTGACATCTTGTTTTGGATTTCTGGCCTCCAGAACCGTGAGGCAATAAATTTCTATTATTCTAAGCCACCCAGTTTGTGGTATTAGGTTGGTGCAATTACTTTTGCACCAACCTAATATTTTGTTTTGGCAGCCTTAAGAAACTAACAGAGGCATTTTACTTCTTTTCTTCTATCATATATCAGTAGTAGTACGCAAATTGGTGATTTGCTGTCAGAATTCCAACATGGCCTTTGGCCTCAGCATGAGATAGCTTCCTGAGATGAATGTTTCACAAGGTTCTTTTGGAACTCCCATATTGAAAAATTTTTGGATGGCACTCAAACACTACATTCAACTCTTAAGCAAACTCCATTGCTGAGGGACACTGCTATGGGATTAGAATTAATATATAACAAGGTGAATCAATAGAGGGATTGGCAAGGCTGGTTCCATTTATCAGTTAGCATTCTTAGTGACTCTTTCTCCAGGAAAAAGATCAAGAAATGTGTTCCCTGTTAGCATGATAAATATCCAAATTGATTAAATTTCAGGGTATAATATACCATTATCCATTCTGGGAAGACAGGGAATTCTGTTCCAAGAGGACCCTTTGTGGTAACAGGCAAAGGAAACAGAAAGGATATAGGAAGGAATGAGAACAATGAATAGATAGATGCCATATCACAATTGATTAAATATTGTTATTACATTATTAATGAAGAAGATAGGTGCCAAAAAGACTGGAATACAATACAATGGAATACTAATGAGCAATACATAGGAATGGAGGAACAAACAAACTACTGATGCAGCAACATGGATGAATTGCAAAAAAATGTGATGCCCAGAGAAAGAGTCAAGGCACAAAAGCATACCTACTCTATGCACTCTATGATTCCGTTTACAGGATGTTCTAGAACAGACAAAACTAACCTATAACACTCAGAACAGCAGTTGCATTTCTTGTGTGGAGTGGAGGGCTAGGGGGTTGATCTGGAAGGGGCATGGAGGAGCTTCTGGGAGTGATAAAATGTCCTGTCTCTATAGGGGAGTAAGCTATGTGGGGATATACATTTGTCAAAACGTATCTACCAGGAACCCTAAAGGATGTGCATTTCACTATGTGCAAATTATACCTCCACAAGACATGTTTTAAAATCTTGAAAACAATGATTTAAAAACATATTGTAGAGAATTTGGAATTTTTTTTTAATTAAGAAGAAAATTAAAACACTTATAACCACTATTTAGAGTAAATAATTTTAATGATATGAAATGTAATATAAACATTGTATTATCTCATTTGCATAGAGAAGAGATAATGCATAAGATCAGAGTGAATACATAACTTGTTTCCTATATTCCTATACTAAGGGGAGGAAAAGGAAGACTACAGTTATTATTTATGCTCTTATTACTGTTCTTTAAAAATCATTATACCTATGAGTAAGGTCTAAAATAAAATAATGGCAAATAGTTGGTATTTCCTATCTTGTGACTGTGTAGTGTGGTTTTCTCTTTAAAATGTCCTTTATCTGTCTAATAAATAATAGTCATGATAGAAAAACAGGTTTAAGGAAGAAAGATGAGAGCAACGGAGGTAAGTTTCTAGAGTGGAAAGCACACAAAGGGCCACATGATCACAGTCTTCATTTGTAGGAAAGCTGTGAGCCTGCTGAAGACAGGAAGAGCATCTCATTAATTCTGAGTCCTAGTGCCACATGTGGCACAAAGTAGGGACACCATAAGCATTTCTGAATAAATATTCTCCACATCGGCTAGGCACAGCGGCTCATGCCTATAATCCCAGCACTTTGGGAGGCCACGGTAGGAGGATCGCTTGAGGCCAGGAGTTCGAGACCAGCTTGGGCAACATAGCGAGACCCTCATCTCTATAAAAAATAAAAATAAATAAATAAATAAATATTTAAAAAAAATTATCCATGGCCAGGGAGAATCAGTCAGCAAGAAACTGATTTTAAACTAAAGCATGAGAGATTTGGGGCACACATGAACATGCCTTTGACTGTCAGAGATCATGAAGAAATTCTGGAATACCTAATGCAAAAAAAATTTAAGTGTATATTACTATTTGTCCAGGATACTTTACACATCCTTCTTCCTAAAGGAAGGCATCTCAAGCTGGCAGCCTCTCCATTTCCTATCTAGGTATAAGATTTCTACTTCTATTATTGCTTCTTCCAGAAGACCACAGATCAGAATTACTTAGAATTACTTGTCTATTCAGAAACCGTATTTGGGTGAGAGACAGAAGGAGAGCAGATGGCCAGCCTTAGACAGAGCCATGTTTCAGCAAAGAGGCTCAGCTTCCACCTCAGAGCTGAACTTAACAGAACTCTCAAAGGGATTCAATTCCATGCTTGTTCCAAACATCAGATAACCAAGGCCCAAGGAGTCTGATTACTGTCTAAAGCAGGGGGCGGTTGACAAGCCCATATTGCTAAGAAGCACCCTTCTTGATGAGCCTGAAATGATGCTACTTCAGAATGTTGATAGCAGTCCTGTTCTGGTGGTAGAACCTGCAGAATTTTTAGTTTTTCCTTTTTAATTGTTCTAAAATAAACACATAGTGCTTCTGCAGACAGAAAACTACAACTCGTTTCTATATTCTCAGGATGTTAAAAGGATTCAAAGAATTCTCTCTTTGAATCAATTTTCAAGGTCAAGTTGCTTACCACCCCTTAAAGAAATTTAAATGATGTTTAGAAATAGACCTGCCTTTTCATGTCCTCTTCCTTCCCCTCTGTTGAATAAACAAGGCTTTGTTTAAGCTAACAGTTGTTGAGTCCACATTCTGTACCTGCTGGCAGCTGGTACTAGATAGGTTGAGGCATTTCACAACTTACCATGGCCATGACTCTAGGTCAAGATCAGAGTTCAGTCACCCAAGCAGAAGTTCTCCTGTGATAAAAGCAAAGGTAAAATGATTGTGATGAAGGAAATGGCATTAAAATCATTAATCAGGATAACTTGCAGTATGCATGAAGCTAAGCCATGAGGAAATGACACCCAACTTTATCAAAAGGCCAGGTACTGATTAGCCAAAGATATAAGGGGTGGGTTAGTAATTAGAGAAACTGTTTTAAAAAAGTCAACTTTATCATACTAGTAAAATATTTTCCTACCTGCTCTTCTATTTGGAGATACACATGACAGAAATGAATCCTATTGTTTTGTTAGGGTAAAGCACCATTACTTGTACTCAAGCTGGACACAGACTCTGAACTGAATGTAACAGCAGATCAGAAGAAGCTCCCCCTTTAAGAAAAGAGATAATCTAGCCTACAGCATACCAGCCTCCTCTCTGTGCATGCATATGTGTGAGTATGTTTGTGTGCGTGTACGTGTATGTGTAATGACAGGCCAGCAGCCCAACCAGCATTAGAATCTTTTCATTTCCCAATGGCGATTTTCAGTGCCACCACTCTAGGATTAAAGATGTTTCTTCCCTTTAAGTTGCAGCCTTATACATTCAACTTTGTCCTGAGTTTTCAGCTCCCTCTCTTTCATCATGAAGACTTGAATCATCACACATTTTTTTAACCCCTCCAAACCAATTTTAATACAAAGGATGCAAACATCTATAAATGAAACATTTGGTTCTTCTGACCCTTCTGGGTGTCATGGGAGAGAATGCTGTTGAATGAAAATGACAACAGCTTGGCTTCAGATGGAATTGGACTATTTAAAATTGAGTTTCCCGGAAAAGCAGGCACCGATTTCTAGAAGGAAATTAACTCCTTATCAAAGCTATTTATTGAGCCAATATGGGTGGTTAACATCTTCACTAGTATAAAGTAGCCCACTGCAGGACTCTCAGACTCAGGTGAGCTGAACCGAGTGTACTCGGTCAGACTGCAAGGGCACTGATGAAGCTACTCTGAAAGCTGGCTGTCCCCATCCTCCAGATGAGGACCACTCCGATTTTATCCCAGGGGCCTGGTCCATTCCTCCCATACTCCAACGGTCACACATTATACAAGGTACCCTGCTGCTTCCCCACTTCAACTGCTCTGAAAACCAATTAGCAAAACCTGTTAAAAAAAAAGAAGGGAAAAAAGCCTCACTATCTCATCCAGGCTGCCTGCCCCAGCCCCCCAACTGGAGGCATGCCAGGTGGGGGAATGGGCGGGGACACAGGGGGCTGTCCTCCGGGGGCACAGCAGGAGGTGGGTAGCTGGCAGGTGGCAGGCCCAAGCCTGGAGGAAGGTGAGGGGCGACTGCGTGGGTAGGGGTCAGGTGTGGAGGTGGGGGTGGGGGGTAGCCAGGAGTAGGAGGTGGGATGGCAGGTTGGGGGAAGGAGGCCAGGGGAGAAGGCATAGGCGGTGGGGGTGGGTTGGGCGGGTAGACGTTGAGGTAGTAGGGCAGGTGTGCAGGCCGGCCGTTGGCGGGAGGGCCCCTTGGCCTTCATCATGGACTGCAGGCTCTGGTAGCCCTCTCCAGACATGTAGGAGCTGGTGGTGGACATCATGGTCATGTAGCTGGAGTGCGGTAGGGTGGGGGCCGGTGTGGCAGCGGTGGTGGCTGGTGCACAGTAGCCAGGTGGGCCGGAGGAGGAATCTGGACTTTGGGGAGGTCAGTGGTATCCACAGGGCCTGGCGGCTCAGCCTCACCTAAGGCAGCAGCGAGGGGAGGCTTTTGGTCTGGAGGTGGGTGGGCTGGAGGCAACGGTGGGTGAGTGGTCCCAATCTTGGGAATTTTAGGTGGCGGTGGTTCTGCTTTGTTCTCTTCTTTGGGAGAAACAACCACGGCTCGCTTAGCCTGTCGGGGAGAACTGGGCTACAGAGAGGGTTTCTTGGGCTGCTGGACTGGCTGCTGCTACTGGGCTGGTTGCTGGGGGTCATTCTACTGGGGCTGGGATGGTTCGGAGCCTTGAGACGGTTGTGACTGTTGTACTTGCGGTACTTGTGGTGTAGGCTGAAGACATGGGGGCTGTTGCAGCTGATGGGGGTGTGATGAGGCATCTGTTGTTTTCCTTGTGAGTAAAGATCCAGGATTTGGTGGCATATGTCTTCCAAAACGTCGACTGGGACATCTTGAACAAACCGTTCCCACCATCTCCTATACATGGGTTTGGAGGTCCATTCTTGTATTTCGAATTTGCACAAACGTCCTGCAAGATACATCACTGCTACCGCTATGATCTCTGGTTCCCTGAAGTGACACTGCAGGGAACCAGAGATCATATGTCACTGCAGTGACAAGGTGGTGCAGAGACTGTCATTTACAAATGTCCATGCCATTTGAACCAACTTTTGAATTTTGTTTTTTATCACCTTTGAGTTGCTTTGTATATTTGAGTAGGAACTGGTATGGATGTTCCACCTGTAAATCAAACTTGATGGTCTACAGTAAGAGTCTCTCCAGAACCATTACTTCCTCCTTTGGGTCATCTCCGAACTGGCCAAACTGTGCATCATTTAATAAACTACAAGCTGTTTTGATGATATCTTTACATTTTTTTGGTGTTTCTTCTACCTTCCCAGCCAGAAAGAGGCAACAGGCTCCTGTCACATATCTTGGGAATTACTTGAAGAAATGAAACATATAGAAGCGATGAAAATAAATTATTCCCATTGCCAGGGTATCATAGTGTAGCCCCAAACGTGCCCACATCAAAGATGAACCGAGTGCCCTCTCGGCGGTACCGGACCTCAGTGGCTGGATCAAGTCCTTCAAGTTGTGAGGGTGTATGAGCCAAGTCTTTCTTATCCCAGTACCAACATGGTTTTGTGTGGTCCAGGTTTGCTGAAGTTACTGAAGGGCTTGAATTTTCTTTATTCTCCTTCATTTATTGAGGTAGACTTGTTCTTTCCAAAAGGTTCTCTGAAAATGTTAGAATCCCCTGGTTTCAGGCAAGCCCCTTAGCAACGTCTCTCCGTGCCAACTGCGGCCATCTTGCATGTGGAATCCATCACACATTCTTTTCAATTGTTCAGAATGCAAGAAATGTCTTCACTGCACTCTAGAACGCTTGCGGAGTTCTCATGATATATAAACAGCCCTCTAATGGCAGCCTACCAACTCCTGTTCCCATACCTAAGTCATAAGGACAAGCCTCCTTTTCTTTTTTTTTTTTTTTTTTTTTTTTTTTTTGAGTCAGAGTCTCCCTCCATTGCCCAGGCTGGAGCGTAGTGGTGCAATCATAGCCCACTGCAGCCTTGAACTCCTGGGCGCCAGCGATCCTCCTGCCTCAGCCTCCCAAGTTGCTGAGACTACAGGCATGAACCACCTGGTTAAGGCTCCTTTTCTCAGAATTTAGTTAGATCCTTGATACTCAAGGAGTTATCCTAGAACCAGGAGTACAGGCATTCCTGGGAGCTTGTTAAAAATGCAGAATCTGGCTGGGCACGGTAGCTCATGCCTGGTAATCCCAGCACTTTGGGAGGCTGAGGCAGGTGGATCATTTGAGGTCAGAAGTTCAAGACCAGCCTGGCCCACATAGTGAAACCTCCTATCTATTAAAAATACAAAAATTAGCTGGGCAGTAGTGCTGTACACCTGTAATTCCAGCTACTCAGGAAGCTGAGGCAGGAGAATCACTTGAGCATGGGAGGTAGAGGTTGCAGTGAGCCAAGATCAGCCCACTACACTCCATTCTGGGCGACAGAGTGAGACCCTGTCTCAGGGAAAAAAAAAAAAAAAAAAAAAAAAAGCAGAATCTCAGGCCCCTCCCTACTCCAGACCTACTCCCAGAATCTGCATTTGTACAAGATTCCCCATATATGTGCCTGCACAGTAGTTTGAAAAGCACTGGTCTAGATAATTTGACCAAGCAGTGTGCTTTTCAGTGATAACTAAGTCCTTCTTAACCCACCTGATGACCACTTAGGCCTTGTTTGGTCACATTTGCTTTTCACCTTCCAGTTTCCTTCTTCCTTGTTTCGCATCATTCATTGCTGACTTGCCTTCTATTACCTGGAGGTTCAACTAAGGGGAGAATCAACTAGTCCTGGGGCACAGCCTGAGCAAACGTGCAGAGGTGGGAATGAGCTACAGGTTCAGGGATAATGAGGAAATTCAGGTGTGACAGCAGAGGGCTCATTCCAGGGAAGGCTCAGAAACAGGGTTGGAAAAGCCAAAGCAAATTGAGTGGTAAGGGCCTTGCATGGCTGACTGAGGAGTCTGGCTTTATAGTATACCATAGGTCATGGGAATACAGTGGAAAGGTTTTTGTTATTTGCAGAGAAATGCTATAATAAAAGAAAAGCTTTAGCAAGCTATTGTACTTTACTATAGGGTAAACTGGAATGAGAGAGAGGGGAGTGAGGGAGAAGGAGTCAAGAAGGTTTGAGAGATGACTACAGGAACAGAGGGGAAGAGGCAAAGGCCTGGGCAGGGTGTGGCACTGGAACATGACATACGTGGGATGTTTGGAAGGGAGACTTTATCGGATGCAGTGACTCATGGGCTGTATAGATTTACAACCACCAAATATTCCCAAATCACCTCTAACACACCTATCCAAGTGCTTGTTCTGTTAATAGAGATAATGCAGTGGATAAGACAATGAACCTGCTGTCAAGGCATTTATAGTCTACCAGGAGAGATAGACAACACGTTTATTTCACTTTATTTTTTATATAACCAGACATCTTAATCTTTTTTTTTTTTTTTTTTTTTTTTTTTTT